GTCATTCCACTCCAACTAGTGCACAAGTTTCATGGAGTGGAGGGAACTGGGTTGTAAGTGTCTGCTGAGGCCTTTCTCCTGCTGACTTGGGAGTCTGAATCTAACCTGCCTTAATCCTGATAGTGGTTTTGCAGTTTGTTTTATCTATTGGGTGCTTTGGAAACTCTAGGTAGGGGGTGGTGGATCAGGTGTGACAGTAAGGCCTCCACTTCTGGGCATCAAGGAACTGTCCACTGTGTAGGTGCTGATTACTCGCTCACTCCCATCTTCTCAAAATAGATTCTCTCCCAAATGAGTAATTTCCCAGTGTGCTTGTCTCGTGTATTTGTAATGTTTCTACACAGATGTAGGTTGTCCTATTGCTCAGGTGGCTATCCTGTGTACTATATTGCTTTAATAGAAAAACTGGCCTTTGATGTGCTGGATCAAAAGGGAATTCCTCTGGCCAAGGATCTCCTGCCTTTGAAGGAGGGAGGTTGGCCAGGGATGGTGAGCTGTCCCTCATTAATCTTCAGTTTCCCCTTCCAATACCTTTCCACTCCCCTACTGCTCTCTAGAATCATGCAGGATAGTTGGTACATCCAATCTTCAATCTCCATAGTATCTTCCATGTAGTTAGCTAGGCTTCTTGGTGAGTTCCTCATCCTGGCAGTCATGGAAAAAGATGCAGAAAATGCTCCCTGCAGTAAGTATGTAAATACTATAGCCCTCCCATTTACAACAATGATTGGTTCTGCTGAAAACATATTTAATCTATAAAGAAAGAAAGGTAATTTGTACTGTAGGCATTCCCAGTGTGGATAGCTTGCCCTTCTTAAGCACAGCAGGCCTAAAGGCAATTCAAGTACAGCAGGTATTTTGCTGCATTTCTCTTCTGAAGCTTGAATATTTTTACCTCTCACTAGCTTCCAAAAGTAGTAACATACAGACCTCTTTTGTATACAAATATTCAGAATCCTACGGAGTTCAGTAGAATTTACTCCCACAGAAGATTATAAGTACATGCCAATTCTCCAGGATTAAGTCCCATTAAATTCAATAGCAATTCTTTTCAAAACCTTTGCACTGGAACAGATTTCAGAAACCCCTGTGGTACTCAGGGCCATATTATTTATTTATTTATTTATTATTTGCACTTATTGACCGCCACTCTCAGCCCTAGGGCGACTCGTGGCGGTGAACAACAACATGGAAAAGACAGTATACAGCAAATCACGACAACACATACCAAACTACTACTACATAACATACACTAAAAATCCGCTTCGTCAAAATCCTGGGGTCATAGTCAATTTCATAGTCATAATCCATTCCAGTATCGTTCCAATGATACACTCAGTTGAAGGCCTGCTCGAAGAGCCAAGTTTTCAGGCTCCTCCGAAAGGCCATCAGGGAGGGCGCCTGTCTAACTTCAGCAGGGAGGGCGTTCCACAGCCGGGGGGCCACCACCGAGAAGGCCCGCTCTCTCGTCCCCGCCAGACGTGCCTGTGAGGCGGGCGGGACCGAGAGAAGGGCCTCCCCGGATGATCTCAAGGTCCTCGTGGGCTCGTAGGCCGAGATGCGGTCTGCAAGGTATTTTGGGCCGGAACCGTTTAGGGCTTTGTAGGATAACACCAGCACCTTAAATTGGGCCCGGTAGCAGATCGGCAGCCAGTGGAGCTGGGACAGCAGGGGCGTTGTATGCTCTCTGCGCCCTGCTCCTGTTAACAACATGGCTGCCGCGCGTTGGACTAGCTGAAGCTTCCGGGCCGTCTTCAAGGGCAGCCCCACGTAGAGAGCGTTGCAGTAGTCGAGGCGGGATGTGACCAAAGCGTGTACCACCGTGGCCAAGTCAGACTTCCCAAGATACGGGCGCAGCTGGCGCACGAGCCTAAGCTGTGCAAATGCTCCCCTGGTCACCGCTGAGACCTGGGGCTCCAGGCTCAGCGATGAATCCAGGGTCACACCCAAGCTGCGAACCTGCGCCTTCAAGGGGAGTGCGACCCCGTCCAGCACAGGCTGTAACCCTATACCCTGTTCGGCCTTGCGACTGACCAGGAGTACCTCTGTCTTGTCTGGATTTAATTTCAGTTTGTTCGCCCTCATCCAGACCATTACAGCGGCCAGGCACCGGTTCAGGACTTCGACGGCCTCCTTAGTAGCAGGTGGGAAGGAGTGACAGAGTTGGACGTCATCTGCGTACAGGTGACACCGCACCCCGAAACTCCATACATTCAGTAATGGATTATTCCCTGAGGAACTGCCCTACAAAACTCCGAACTCTAACCTCTTCTTTAGCCAGAGTTTCAAGAAGTTCAGTCAGCCTACAGTATTACTGCTTCTGTGTTCAAGCAAGGACATTTTTTAAAAAATCTATAGCAACAGCTAAATCAGGGCAACTATAATCCTTTTGAACAAGGAAAATTGAATTAAACCAAGTTTTTCATTTTGAAACCAATTGTCTTCTTATTTGGAACGCATATTGACTACATTCAGAAAACATACTGGTCTGAAACTTATTATTTTCAACTTGAAAGTTTTTGAGTACCATCGAAATATAGTTTATTTTATGTTCCGGTATTGAATGTTTGCCGTGTCGATGTTGTGATCCACCCTGAGTCCCCCTTGGGATGAGAAGGGCGGAATATAAATGCTTTAAATAAATAAATAATAAATAAAATATCTGTGCAGATCCTGCTACATACCTGGTGTGTGTTTCTATGTATTTCTCATGTGAATGCAAGGATGTACAGTGCTAAATCCAATTGCTAGTTGTGATTAGAGCAGAACCTCTGAATCAATGGAAACTTAGTAAGTCAACACTAATACAGGGTGAGGCAGCATAACTTCCTTTTTCCAAAACTTAATAAAACCCATTGTATGAATCAGAATTTTTTTTATAATGTAGGCACATACCTAAAGTTTTGTTTTACGTAGTTTTGAAGATCAAATTAGGTAGGTGATGTCCCCCATTCGCCATACACTGAGTAAACCGATTTCTGGCGTTTGTCATGACTCTTGCTAGCATAGCAGGCTTTATGTTGGCAATTTCTTCCTGGATGTTGGTCTTCAAATCTTGTAGGGCCCTTGGAAGGTTCACATAGAAAAAATCATAAGGGGCCAAATCTGGAGAGCGGGCCGGCCACTCCAAATCTGCTCGAAAAGTAGGCCTCAACGGCAAAAGCACGCTCCTCACTGTTCCAACGCATGATGGCGACTGAACTGTGTCAGGACAAAACTTTATACTCCCGCCTCTCGAACGAGACCACTAGCGCTCCGCTATGTCTTCAACCAACTGAATGGCAAGCATTTAAAAAAAGGAAGTTATGCTGCCTCACCCTGTATATATTCCGTTGGTTTAAATGTGTCTACTCTTGTTAGAACAGCTTTATTTAGTTTTCAATAAGATAATTTAATTCAGGAGTCCTCAACCTTTGATTCTCCAGCTATTTTGAACTTAAAACCTAGAAGTATGGCCAAAGATTCAGAGAGCTGAAGTCCAAAATGTCCAGGGAACCAAAAGCTAAGAACCACAGAGAATATGAAGCTATCTTCTGCACATGTATTTGAAAAGAAGTCCCAATTAATAAAATAGATATTATTTTAGAGTAAAATATGCCTTAAATTGGAATAGAACGAGTCAGTACTTAAAAGGCAAAACAGTATTTTGCTATGAGACAGAAATTGATTTATGCTGTTTAGTTGGTAAGAATAAATACCAAATTGTGGTTGGTTTGCATTAGCCTTAATCTGATAACTAAAAATGCTACAAAGCTCAGATTTCCAAAGAACATAAAAGGTGTACAAGACCATTCATACATGACCTCAATGTGCGAGTATAATAAAATAAAGATGACATCTATGCGAATGGTGACTTCTTGGGCTTCTGGTTCTCAAAAACACAACAACCCCGAGAATATAAATACATACTTGGATTCATATGTAACATGAAACCATGTGCTTAAAATGGACTTAGTTTATGGTAGAGTCACATGTAGTGGATAATGGTGCTAAATAGCTACTCTATCTCTTCTCTACCTCTCTCATATAATGAAGCAGGTGGATTATGACAGGTAAGAAGATAATGAGTAAGGAGCTGTTTTTTCATCTCTCACATGGTCCATCAAGTAAAGTTGAATAGTAAGACATTCAAGAAATATAAGAACACTTATTCACACAGCACACAAGGTAAATTGAGGAACTTGCTATTCTAAGATGAAGTGATGGATACCACTTTGGATATCTCTAAAAAGGAATAAAATATCATGAACAATAGTCATAATAGGTAAAAGGTAAAGGTTTTCCCTTGACAATTAAGTCCAAACATGTCTGACTCTGGGGGGTGGGTGCTTATCTCCATTTCTAAGCCGAAGAGCCGGCATTGTCCGTAGACACCTCCAAAGTCATGTGGCCAGCATGACTGCACGGAGTGCCATCACCTTCCTGCTGGAGTGGTACCTATTGATCTACTCACATTTGCATGTTTTTGAACTGTGAGGTTGGCAGAAGTCATAATCGGTATATATTAACTTTGCAATGAAGGCAGCATATCTTTGAATTCCAGTTGTCAGAAAACATGACCAGAAGAATGCTACTGTCACCATGTCCTGAGTGTCACCTTCCTAGAAGCATAGGTTGTCAACTGTGGGAACAGAGCACAGGGTTATCTAGGACTTTGGTCTGATCCAGCATGGCTGGAAAGAGATCTCGAACAAGATTGGCCTGAAGTATCTAGAAACAAATGACCTCAAGGCCTGAGTAAACACGAATCATCCCCAGCAAGCAGAACCATCTACAGTCAAGCTAAGATGATTAAACCATGGTAACTATGATATCCAAATGCATCCTACAGTCAAGCTAAGATGATTAAACCATGGTTTAATCCTGGCTTACAGCAAACAGTTTAAACTATAGTTTCAAGTAAAATACAGAATCATAATTAGCTTGAAAGCAGAATCTCTGTTTTTTTTTTAAAAAATCTTTGGCATAAAGGAACAAGAGTGCGTGCATATGAGCCCAAGGCTTATCATAATGTGGCATTACATCTTAAAAGAGATTTTTTTATGCGTCCAACATTTAGCCCCAGAAGACAGCCACACCATTTTAGGAATTCAGATGTTCTTTACAAAGGAATGATTAAGACATTTAAATATTTCAGAAACATTTCTGAATTATGCGACTGTAGGAAGGGTTCTGAAAGTCACAACACTGTGTTCATTGGAAATATTGTAATAGGCATTCTCTCCTCCCCATAGTTCATGGACCTACAATTTTCACTCTTCATATGTACTGTGGGCCAGCGTCAATAAATATTGTGTCCCTTGACAAAATCATGGTGGACTCCTCTAACTAGATCAAGTTGGTGATAATTTCCCTCATATCATAGAGCGGTTTCCACACAGGAAGGATCTCAATAGGTTCAACCACAACGTTGGGATGGAGTTCTTTCTTCTATGGACTGCTCATCTCCCTTTGTCTGGGAGGCTTGCGGTATTTACACTGGATCCAGACCCTGTACATTGTGACTTGTTTTCCTCTGTTCACTTGAAGGCGGCGGTCGACCATATTCTGAACCTTCTCTAAGTCAGCAGTAGAGAACAGCAAATCCAATTCATCTAGGGGATAAAAAAAGAATTTTATGATTTATTTGTTCTCAATATATTGCCCTGTAAAATGATTTACAAAGTAGAAGAACGCACAATGTGACAAATAATGTCCCCCCCCCCCCCAAAAAAATACGACCTTTATAAAAGGAATGAATAAAAGAGCAAACACACAGTGAATTTCAGCTGGCAATTGTATTTATTTATTTAAAACATTTATATTCCGCCCTTCTCACCCTAAAGGGGACTCAGGGCGGAGCACAGCATATATACGGCAAACATTCAATGCCAGGACACGAATATGTATATACGCATACATAAACATTAAAAACATTTATCTCAATATTAAAACATACTATTTAAAACCGTCCTAGTGATCAGCGTCAAATCTAATTGGCCTGGTAATCTTTCTTATTGCTGCTTTATTGCCCTGTCCCAAAAGCTTGGTCCCACAGCCAAGTTTTTGCCATCCTTCTAAAGGACAGGAGGGAGGGGGTCGGTCTGATCTCACCAGAAAGGGAGTTCTATAGCCGGGGAGCAATCACCGAGAAGGCCCTGTCTCTCGTCCCCACCAATTGCGAATGTGACAATGGCGGGACAGAAAGCAGGGCCTCCCTGGAGGATCTTAATCTCCGCGATGATTCATAGGGAGAGATGCGTTTAGACAGGTAATTTGGGCCGGGGCCGTTTAGGGCTTTATAGGCCAAAGCCAGCACTTTGAATTGTGCCCGGTAGCAAACTGGCAGCCAGTGGAGCTGGCGTAACATGGGAGTTGTATGCTCCCTGTATGACGCCCCAGTTATTAACCTGGCTACCTCTCGTTGGACTATTTGAAGCTTCCGAGCAGTCTTCAAAGGCAACCCCATGTAGAGTGTGTTGCAGTTGTCTATCCTGGATGTAATAAGAGCATGGACCACTGTGGCCAGATCTGACTTTCCAAGGTATGGGCGCAGCTGGCACACTGCTGCAACCTAGGATTCCAGGCTCAGTGATGAGTCCAGGAGGACCCCCAAGCTGTGAATCTGTGCCTTCAAGGGGAGTATAACCCCATCCAGCACAGGCTGTGACCCTTTACCCTGTTTGTACCCTAAGACCTCATAGCTGAGTTTGCAATTTGCTTACCTTGTGTGAAAAAATAAACTCGTGTACCATCTCCTCTTACATAGAAGTTATCAGCCAAACACTGACCTGGAAGAGAGGAATGAAAATTCTAACTACAATTGACTTGACCCCAAGTGCTGCTGCCCACTTTCCTGATGGCAGGGACCACAATATATAGCTGAAAGATAATCAGACTCTTTCTTTCAGTTGGAAACCAGGCTAGTGATGATCTGAAGTTCAGAAACTGTTCTTACGTTTCCGAGTTCAGAAATAAGATGCATAAATCTAGCGTAACACACACATAGGCTTGGTTTCTTTCTCTCTGAAAATGTAGCTTGCTCCTGTATTCCACCACCCTATTAAATGGTCGCTACATGATAATTCAAAATAATTACACATTCCCCCGAGGCTTCCTTCTACCTTCTTACAGATACTTATTTCCAGATGATGTAAATGTACAATGTTATGCCATTAATCAAACTTCACTCTCTTTCTTGTTCTCCACCACCTTCAAAGCTCAGTTGTTTGTTTTCTCACTATAGTCGCATTTATTAGTTAAATTTACATCCCACCTTTTCTCAAATGATCTCAAGATGGTATTGCTCAACCATGCCACTTTATCCTCTCAACAATCTGTGAGATAGGCCATCTTTGGACTAGGTCACTCAATGAGGTCTATGTTTTAGTAGGGACTTGAAATCTGGATCTCCCAAGTCTCACTATAACTATATTAACTACTAATGGGTCCCTAGGTGATCTTGGACCAGAGTTCTCAGAATATATCAACATTGGCTGGATAAACGGGATTCCAGGATTTGGGGGTCCAACAGTTACTGAGGGGACAATATTAGTAAGCACTGCATCATGCTGCTAGCTTTCAGAACTGGAACAGACATCTAACCAAAAGAGTAAAGACAAAAAAACTCAGTTTCACCTGAACTCATTTTCTCTTCTATTGTAAATTTATATGTCTTCAAGTCACTCACTGACGTATGGTGACCTCAAGTATTTCATAGGGCATTTTTAGGTAAAGAATAATAGGTGTTTTCTCTAGTCTTTCCTCTGAAATATATTTATTTACAGCATTTTATTTTCAGCATTTATATGAACTCTAACCCCTTCTTTAGCCAGAATTTCAAGTAGTTCAGTCAGCCTAACAGTATTACTGCTTCTGTGTTCAAGCAAGGACATTTTAAAAAAATCTTTCCACCCCAAAGGGGACTCTGGGCAGATCACAAAACACATACACAGCAAACATTCAATGCCGTTAAACAGACAGGACAGATAACAGATAGAGGCATATGTTGGCATTTTTCCCAGCTTCGGCATCCTGGATTTTGTGCCTACTTCCAGCCACAGGGGGGTGCTGTCGCTCCTTCCTCTATGATGAAGAGCCCTTGATCACAGACTTCCTCCTTTCTTTGATCACCGGCATTTTCTTGTATTTTCTTTTTTTGGTGCGGTAAACTACCTCCCCGTTTAAGCACTGTCTAATTTCTTTACTCACAGCTCACAGCTGTTTTCGTACTGTTTGGTTGGACAATAAACTGGGCTGAAGGTCAGGTGCTCACCCCGACCTGGGCTTCGAACTGCCAACCTTTCGGTTACTGTGATCTATTGCTGCTAGTGATAAACCAGCTGTGCTATAGCCTGGGCTTTAACCACTGGGGAACAAATCAGAATGCGTTCAGATGTGTAAAAACTATGAACCTGAAGCTTCACTGCAATTGACATTATACCCTCTCATATCCTTAAACCATTTTTTTTGCCTTTGACTTGTATGCTACTTTTGCTCATGAGAACAGTATATGCGCCTTCTAAAAATCTAAAACCACTTTGGTGTCTAAACATCAGAGTGAGGATAGTGTAGTAGATTGAATGTTGGACTAAGGGTGTTGCGACCAGGGTTGGAATCCCTGCCCAGCCATGCAAACCAACTGGGAAATCTTCTGGAAATATAGTTTTCCAGCTCCAGAGCAAGGCAAAGGCAAATTCTCCTCTTCACAAACAAATTTTGCCAAGAAAAGTGTATTATAGGTTTACCTTAGTGTTGCTATAAGTCAGAAACAACTTGAGGGCACACAACAACAAAATGGAACACCATGAGCCCACCTCTTGTCATACCTTTCTTAAAGCGGAGCTGAGCGAGATCATAACGGCCATAATCACGTAACAAAATAATTCCCCCAGGTTTCAGAAGATTGCTAAGTCTATTGATTACGCACTGCATTCTAGAAAAAAAAAGATGTAAACATTGGTTAAAATAAGACTTGGCTGCAATTGATGGATGGTAGTCATCTATCAGCTCAACATAACCAGCTGAAGGCAAGGTCACATTTAAAGTTCATTGCTGTTTTTGCTGCTCAGCTTCAGAAGAGTCAATCCTCACCCATGAATTCACAAATACTGTTGATCTGCTAGTTTCCTGCTTGTCACAAAAAGACAATTTTGCAACAGCCATTTCCCCCAACACACAATCCTATCTGCAAGACATTAAGAGAATTTAGTGACAGGGTTACCTACTTTTCTGGGAGAATTGCTGAAAGCACAAAAATGAGAACCACCACATCAAGACTTTCTTCTGGCATTGGCAAGGGCGCATCACTGTTGCACAGGTCGTGGACAAAGGCAAAACAACGAGAGGTATCATATTCTGGATGAGCCTGAATATACACAATTATTGATGTTAGCACACAGCACTAATTTCATCACGACTCTGCAGAATGCACTGATCCAAGTAACAGGGGCTTGTCCCCCTCTCAACCAATCAGCTTAATAGTCTGAATAGGAGATTGAACCTGGACTTATTGAAAACCAACACGTAATTCACTTTGCAACAATTTATTTATTAATTTATTTACGACATTTATATGCCGCCCTTCTCACCCCGAAGGGGACTCAGAGCGGCTTACAAGGTATATATACATACAATATATTATTAGCATAGTACAATATCAATTGCTATATTGTACTATATCAATTATACTGTAATATTATTAGTAATATTACATGTAATATAAATATATTATAATATATTATTATTATATTGCATTACATTATAATATTATAAATATTATATGTATATACAATATATATTATATTATATTATTAGAATAGCAAAGGAGACAAGGTGGAACTGTCCCCTGGCCCCCCCTTCACTCTGGCCCAGAGCAGCAGTTGGTGCTGGGGGCGGGGAGGGGACCCCAACTGATGACATATTCAGGACCCAAAATTTCTAGATTTGGAGGCCCGAAATTCTGTTATGAAAAAAAATCTCACAAATTAGTTTCCAAGCAGAAATTAATTTTGTGTAAGAAATTGCACAGATCCCAAGTAGACAGACACCAGAAGTGAAAGCAAACCGTACTGTTTGCCTGCCTCCATATGTTAACAGTAGTCTCATTCTGAAGTATAATGAGACTACTGCATAAGATGGACCGTGATACAGGGAAAAAAGTCAATTGAGGGCTGGAACCAAGAGTGGACAGAGCCCGACCTACTGACTGAGCTACTCCTTTGTTTCCTCTGTGCCTGGCACTCAGATCCTGCGGGGGCCCCACCAACAACCCCCAAGTAAGTAGTGGTAACATCATAGATTTTCTCAGCTTGTCCACTCCAGTTCTAAACCAAACGGTTCTTTCCATTTTCACATGGTTGGGATAAGCTGTTAGTGCAAGGCTCTACTCCACCTGACATTAGACAAAGAATTGCATTACATGACAATAGCAAAAGGCACTGCATACTTTGAGATACATAGTGGTATTTATCAAATGATATCTCTCTCTTTTTACCTTGACAAGGTCCACTGCTGTAGTGGAGAAGTCGCAGCAATACACAAATAAGCCGGGGTCACTGAAATGAACCAAAATTTTTAGAATGACGAATGCTTGTAGAGGGGTTGCCAAAAATGGCAACAGCATAAAAGGCAAAATGAAAATTGAGACACAACAACTGCAAAGCAGGCACAAATAAACACTAGAATTCTAGGCGGGGGGAGGGGGGATAAACTATGAAATATTGGGTATTGCTAATATTGCAATACGTAGCAAATGGAATGGGGTTAAATCATTAAGGACACAAGAAATAGAGGAAATAATTAAGAATAAAATAAATGAATAAAATAAAAACAGAAAAATATAATGAATTAGAAAAAAAGGATGGTATTAAGATGGAATAGAACTCCTGAACAATTGGCTTATATGGTAAAAAGAAAGAATTCGAAGTGTTGGCATTGTAATAAAGAAAAAGGTACTTATTCACATATATGGTGGGAGTGTTCTGAAATAAAAAAATCCTGGCAAATGATACAAGGAAAAAGTCAGGATAAAAATTCAAATTAATAATAATTTGCTACTATGGTGAGTGTTGGAACATCTGAGTAAAAAAATCATTTGCCAGGAGTTATTTAAAGTAACCATAAGAGCAGCACATGCGGTGATCGCTAGAGGATGGAAAGGCAAATCGAAATGGACGTTAAGCAATTGGAATGATTATATGTATGATCAAGTGCTGTTAGACATTACGGGAATTATGATTAAGCAAGCAACAAGAATGGACAAACAAAAGGTCATTACAAATAGGTGGAAGGTCTACTTCAACTGGGTGAAAAATCTAGGAACCAACAATCACATCAAAGAAAAAATACAAAGACTTTACCAGTGGATGGATCTGCAAGATTAGTAGAAATATACTGTGGTAACAAGGGAGCGAGGGTGGGAAAATATAAACTACACCAATGTAAAGTAGCATAATGTCATTAATATTTGTTGAATTACTTGGGATTTATGCTTGTAACTCTTGGAATATGGCTTGTTGATTTGTGTTTATAGCATTATACACACACACACACACACACACACACACACACACACTATGAAATATTGGGAGACATCAGGAGAGTCTAGCTAGGCAGAACTAAAATTGAGCCTGGATCAAATATGGTGATTAAAAGCAGAGTGGATACAGCTTGTGTATATTGACAACAAGGATTGTTGCAAAAGATAAAATAGATTGAGAAACAAGGAAACCAAATATGAACTCCCTGGAGAAAGCTGAAAGGAAGGGCACTGGGTTAGATACCATCTCTTGGCATAACCCAGCCTTTCCAACCTGGTGTCCCTAGATGTCTTGGGTTGAACACTCAGAATGGCACATCCAGCATAAAGGACAGCGGGATTCTAATTGTTTAGTACATCTATATACCGCAAATTTACACCTTTTACAAAGGGTTGTAAGGAAGTTAACTAAACACTGTTCTCTAAAGAAAGTGATTTATTTTAAAATGTAAATAGAATTCAACTTTAAAAAAACCCCAGAATACATATACTACTTTCTAGAACAGATGGGAGAATTGCCTGTCTCAGAGATGTCACTGTGTCAATCAACCTTTATACATGAAATATAGGGAGAAATTGGATCATTTTCGCATGATGGGAACTCAGAAACTCAGTCAATCAGTTTGGGGTCACCCTTTTGCAAATAACAGACTTCAGAACCTCCACAGATTCAGAGATTGCACCCCTACGTTCAATTATTTCACAGTCCCAATAAACCTAACTAGACTTATTTCTGGGCAGACATATATATATATTATTAATGTAATTATAAAAAAATACCCTACTAATTTTTTTAGATTCAAAATGTACTTGGCAGTTTTTCTTACTTGTTAGTTTGGAGAATGGGGAAGACTGTGTTCCCAGCACCACATCCCACCTGCCAAGAAAACAAATAAATTTAAACTACGATAATAAAATCTCACGCTGTTATACATTTGCTAGTCTACAAAATGCTGCCACGTTTTTCGCTGATTTCGCTACAATAGACTAATATGATTATCATTCTGAAAATAACTTATATTATACATATTTTAGGTGATACATGTCAGCATAATGGTTTTGCTAGTGTGAAATACAGCTTATAGTTTTAATCTTTGTGTCCGGTGCAAGGCAGCATGCTATGCAAGGGTTAAAAGCATAGATGCGATTTATTACCAGAGCGTGAACTGTGAACAGTTCTGGGATACATCATTTCAATGTCATGAACTTGTGATAAGGACTGCTGTGTGTACTCTTCTCAGCCATGCCAAATAACAGGCAAGCTGAATGTATGATTGCTCTTGTACATCGTTCTGTTTGTTATTTTCTGTAGCTGTTAGAAAGTAACTAAATAAACGTGCTGTTTCCAAGCTTTGAAGCTGATGGAAGACTGTGTACTCTGCTTTATTCCATACCTCACTGCAGTTGCACTGAGGTCGACTTTTTATTAACAATACAAATATGAAGTAAACAGCTTTGTCCCATACACCAAACCTATACAGTTGCTAATCCTTATACATTTACTCTGCCCATGTTGAAATGCAGAATTCTTGGAAATCCAATGAACTTTATAGGTCCCACGGCCTTAAGAAAGCTCAGAGCATTCTTGGGGATCCAATTCACCCAGCATATTATTTTTTTGAATTATTGCCATCTGGCAGACGGTACAGGGTGCCAAAGACGAAGACAAACAGACTGAGAGATAGCTTTTATCCTAGAGCTGTGGTTATGTTGAACTCCATGGTTTTGCACTGATGTGGCATTGGGGGTTGTACGGTGATGGTTGGGGTCTAGATATGGGTATGTTGTTTTGTGATGTGTGCTGGGGAAGGCATTTAATTTCATTGTGCAATAGCACAGTAACAATAAAGCTATTCTAATAAAAACTGAAATATACCACAACCAAATGCCTACCAGTGGGTATTCTCAATGTAACAGAGGGCCTTTGATCTCTGATTGTTTTTAAACTGTTTTAAATTGTTTTTAAATTGTGTTTGATTTTAGCCTGTTCTAGTAAGCCACTCTGAGCCCCAGGGGAGTGGCGGCATATAAGTTCAAATAATAAATAAATAAATAAACAAACAAAAGTTCTATCAACCTCATGGCAATTGATATCCATTACTTCAAAGAAGTTTCAAATGGCCATTGTAGTGATTGCTACAACCTTTTAAAAAGCACAGAAATCAATATCTATGTACACAGCTAGCTTTGTTTAATTATTTCTTTGTCTAATTATTTAAAAGAAATAATTCCCTGCAAAATGTCCTTACAAATGCACTTTAACTACTGGATTGCGTTGGACTGCGCCCTCACTTCTTAAAACCCTCCTTCCAGATATATTCCACCTTGTTCATGCCCAGCGTTATTTTTTAAATTTTAAATTATTACATTTGGCCTGGCCATAGGTTTTAAATCCTTGTGCATTATTGTTATATGTGATTTATATTAATTTGTATTGCATTGTATTGTTTTGTTTATTGCTTTTCTGTTTTATTGTTGTGTTATTGGGCTTGGCCTCATGTAAGCTGCTCCGAGTCCCTTGGGGAGATGGTGGTGGGGTATAAATAAAGTTTATTATTATTATTATTATTTAAATTTGGAGCAGTTTTGAATTTTTTTTGGCAGGGGGGTGGTTGGGATTAGCAACACAGTGTAAAACACCACCACTACACTCTGCTTTTAAGTCTCCCTGACCATATATTACCCATGTTGGTAAAGAGGATCCTGAACTCAGCATGTCCATTGCATCACAAGCCTAGTTACTCTTAGGTTCTGATTCATTGCACTGTTACCTCTAATATTCGATAAGCAGCAGATGACCCTGGGAAGTCACCTTCTCTTAGTTTTTGTTCCTCCAGCTTCTTTGATCCCGGTTCATCCTGTGCATGGATCATGTCACCACTGTTTGGCTCAGAGTTCGGATGCTCTCTGATACCATTCTCTGCTGAATCAAGTCCATCGCCGCTGCTGCTTCTAAGGTCTGAGATATTGGCATTTTCCACAGGTTCCTTGTTGGCACATGTGCCAATGTGACTGTCACATAAGTTTGGTGCTAGTTCAGGAAATTCTGTGAACAGCCAGTGTCTGTCCTTAAAAAAGCCATTTTCATGAGTTTTGTAGAAGGCATTCCAGTACTCGTTGGCATTGAACTCATAGGCATCTGGAAGAGAAAGACAAAATGAAAAATGACCACAGTGAGTCCATTCTGCTGCCCTTGTAGTTTAAGCATGTTGCACTTAAGACAATCTTTCCCAATCTGACATCTTCCAGATGTTCTGGACCAGGGGTCCTCAAACTTTTTATACAGAGGGCCAGGTCACAGTCCCTCAAACTGTTGGAGGACCAGATTATAATTTGAAATAAACATGAATGAATTCCTATGCACACTGCACATATCATATTTGTAGTGAAAAAACACTTAAAAATAGTTCAATAATTAAAATATAAACTTATTAATATTTCAATGGGAAGTGTGGACCTGCTTTTTGCTGATGACATAGAGTTGTTGTTGTTGTTGTTGTTGTGTGCTTTCAAGTCATTTCAAACTTAGGTTGACCCTGAGTGAGGGCCAGGTAAATGACCTTGGAGGGCCGTGTCCAGCCCCCGGGCCTTAGTTTGAGGACCCCTGTTCTGGACTAGGATTCTTATCATTACTGACCATTCTTTATGATAGCTGAGACTACTAGGAGTTTCAGTCCAAACCATTTGAAGGCTGATGTTACAGGCTGATATAAGTACACCTGAGTGAATAAAAATGTGAGATTTTTGAAATTGACTCTAGGGTAGGCAATCCCATAGACCCCCATCTGTTGTATAATTGTTCCAATTAAAATTATTTTCAAGCTTAATCTACACTTCTTTTTTTTATAGTAAAATTGATTGCTTCTTTTCCAGTCCTCAAAACATTAATCTGTCAGCATTTAAAAATATTTGGAAATTATTACCAAAATATTTGGAAATTATTACTTTACTTTCTCCACTTTTCATGTCCCCTCAAAGATTTCCACTAAATTTAATCTGGCAATATCCTGTTGCCAAATACCTCAATTGACGAATTCCTCTATCTCTATTGATTTTTGTATCAGGAGAGATGTAAGTTTGATTTTAGCATTAGAAAAAAATGCAAATTATTGTCATCAGTTGGGGACCTCTCCCCTCAGCACCAATTGCCACTCTGGGCCAAAGTGAAGAGAGAGGGGGGCAGAAGACAGTTCCACCTTGTCTCCTGTGCTATGTTAATAATATAATATAATATATTGTATATACATATAATATTTATAATAATGTAATGCAATATAATACTACTACTGCTGCTACTACTACTAATAATAATAGTAATATGATATAATTATTATATATTTATATTACATATAATATTACTAATAATATTACAATGTAATGGTATAATACAATATAAAAATATATAATACTGATATTGTACTATGCTAATAATATAGTATATTGTATATATCTTGTAAGCTGCTCTGAGTCCCTTTTGGGGTAAGAAAGGCAGCATATAAATGTCGTAAATAAATAAATAAATATTGCAAAGGAGTTGAGCCTGCCCCTGTAAAACCTGCTTACAGTACTATCCTTGAAGCAATTTTCCCTAAGCTTGGCTCACGTGAAATATCAGAGCTAAGCTGGGTGTCAGGAAAGGAGTTTGGACCACTGATCCCATGAACAATTCTGCTCCCCTTAGCTATATAGCCTTTTGGTGTTTTGCTCAAACTCCCTGTACGTTCTGTATGAATAAAAACAAACATCACAGCTCATCTCTCCCCCCCCCCCCCCCGATCAATATAACATAGACATTCTATACACAAATGCTTAGCTAATTTCAGGATATTAGGTTGAGATCAATTTCCTATGGCTGTTGGAAACTTATTGCCCGAATCAAAAAGGAGAGTGGGAAGGAAATATGGGTTGCTGTGCGTTTTCAGGGCTGTATGGTCATATTCCAGAAGCATTCTCTCCTGATTTTTCGCCCATATCTATGGCAGGCATCCTCAGAGGTTGTGAAGTCTGTTGGAAACTAGGCAAGTGGGGTTTATATATCTGTGGAAAGTCCAGGGTGGGAGAAAGAACTCTTTCCTGCCTGAGGAAAGTGTGAATGTTGCAACTGGCCAGCTTGATTAGCATTGATTAGCCTTACAGTTTCAAAGCCTAGCTGCTTCCTGCCAAGGAGAATCCTGTGTTGGGAAGTGTTAGCTGGCCCTGATTGTTTCTTGTCTGGAATTCCCTTATCTTCTGAGTGTTATTCTTTATTTACTGTCATGATTTTAGAGTTGTTTTTTTTTAAAAAAACTGGTACTCAGTTTTGTTCACTTTCATGGTTTCCTCCTTTCTGTTGAAATTGTCCACATGCTTGTAGATTTCAATGGCTTCTCTGTGTAGCCTAACTCAACCAGAGAACTCAGCCATAGCAGAGTACCTGATGAACCAACCTGGACACAGCATATTATTTGAGAACGCAGAAATGCTGGACCACTCTAACCTAAACGGTTCCGGCCCAAGATACCTATCTGACCGCATCTCGGCCTACGAGCCCACAAGGACTTTGAGATCGTCCAGGGAGGCCCTGCTCTCAATCCCGCCTGCCTCACAGGCACGCCTGGCAGGGACGAGAGACAGCGCCTTCTCGGTGGTGGCTCCTCGGCTGTGGAACACCCTTCCCGTGGACATCAGACTGGCTCCTTCCCTGATGATATTCCGCAGGAAATTAAAGACTTGGCTGTTCAAGAAGGTGTTCGAACAAGAAGTGCAATAATTGGTAATGACGACAGGAATGGAACAACGGAAAATGATACTGGATTGTGGTTTAAACGATGAGACGTCGAGATTGGCTTTTTGTATTTTGATATTGTGGATGTTTTTTGATGATGATGTTTTTGGTTATTGCTAGATTGATATTTTAGATTGTGTCTTGTATTTTGAACCTTGTCCTTTCTATGTTGTACACCGCTGTGAGTCGCCCCCGGGCTGAGAACAGCGGTATATAAGCAAAGTAAATAAATAAAAAAATAAATCACCATGTCAGACTACACAGAGAAGCCACTGAAATCCATAAGCATGTGGACAATTTCAACAGAAAGGAAGAAACCATGAAAATGAACGAAATCTGGCTACCAGTTTGTTTTTGCGAGACATCCTGCAGCACATTTTGCTATAGTTTTTCAATTAATATCTCAACCAATTCAACATCGTTTGTAGCATAAAGTAAGTTTCTGGATGATAACTACTTTCAAAGTAAGTACTGCACCATTAAACAGGAAACAATACTTTCAAACCAGGAACAGATTTTTGTTGTTGTTGTTGTTGTTCATTCATTCAGTAGTTTCCGACTCTTCAAACCCTCATAGTGTTACAAAGTGTTATTATTAAACTTCTCTGGCTAGGACCAAAAAAGATGCTGGAGTTAACCAAAATCTGGAGAAAAGATGAGTTCAAGATTTTCTCTGGGCACCAGCACTACCTTGCTGATCTTGTGGGACAAACTCTATGCTGTTCTCTTGGACCTTTGCTTGAGCCACAGCTTCCTGCTCTTCAGACCATTCCACGTTATCCCTGGAAAACAGAAAGAATGGAAGTAACTCAGCACATTTAACCTTAAGTGTCAGAATCCAGAACTAGCTTAGTACGTAAAGGCAGAATCCAGAAGGCAGACTATACATATGTATAATCATGGAAGTTGTGTTATTTGAGAAAAAATAATGGCACAGACAACCCATGGAAGAAGAAAAGTGGAAGAAACCGGAGCAGAAAGGTGGTTTGTTTTTGCTGGACATCTTCAAGTCCTTTGTGAAACAAATGTTTCTGAGGCTGAGAAAATGTGACTTGTCCAAACTCAACCAATGGGTTTCCATGACTAAGCGGGGATTCTAATCCTATTAATATCTTTATTGTTGTTGTTCATTTGTTCAGTTGTTTCCGGCTTTTGTGACCTCATGGACCAGCCCACGCCAGAGCTCCCTGATGGCCGTCACTAACCCCAGTTCCTTCAGAGTCAAGCCAGTCACTTCATGGATACCATCCATCCATCTTGCCCTTGGTCGGCCCCTCTTCCTTTTTCCTTCCTTTTTCCTCAGCATCCTTGTCTTTTCTAAGCTTTCCTGTCTTCTCATGATGCGGCCAAAGTACTTCATCTTTGCCTCTAATATCCTTCCCTCCAATGAGCAGTCGGACTTTATTTCCTGGAGGATGGACTGGTTGGATCTTCTCGCGGTCGAAGGCACTTTCAGAAGTTTCCTCCAACACCACAGTTCAAAAGCATCTATCTTCCTTCGCTCAGCCTTCCTTATGGTCCAGCTCTCACATCCGTAGGTGACTACGGGGAATACCATTGTTTATGCTTATTATTTTTATACTTATTATTATTTTGCTTATGCTGATTATTATCTTTATGTTTATTATTATTTTGTTGATTTATACCCCGCTCTCTCTAAAAAAGAGACTTGAAGTGGCTTACAGTGAAACCGAATTAAATACAATTTAAACTTGAAAAATATACAAAGATTTAAAAAGTATTAAATATTAATTTTATTTAAAAACTAAACAGTTTAAATTCTGAAAAAAAATGCATCCAAGTCTAAAACCACATCACCCCCTCACTTGATCTTAAAAAAGCAGTCATAGCCCAACACCCAAACCACTATGCCATATTGGCTCCATAGAAGGCTGGTAAGGTAAAGGGTTTCTCTTCACATTAAGTCTAGTTTAGTCCGACTCGGGGGGGGGGGGGGGCTCATTTCCATTTCTAAGCTGAAGAGCCAGTGTCGTTCGTAGACACCTCCAAGGTCATGTGACCAGCGTGACTTCATGGAACACCGTTACCTTCCCACCGGAGCGGTACCTATTGATCTACTCACATTTGCATGTTTTCAGACTGCTAGGTTCCCCTCACTTCTTTAAAACCTTCCTATTAGATATATTCTACCTTGTTCATGCCCAGTGTTTATTTTTTAATTTTTAATTATTACATCTGGCCCGGCCATAGGTTTCTTAAATCCTTGCATATTAATGTTTATATGTGATTTATTTAATTGTATTGTTGTTACTTTTTTTGTTATTGCTTTCTTGTTTATTGATGTGTTGTTGGGCTTGGCCTCATGTAAGCTGCTCCGAGTCCCTTGGGGAGATGGTATAAATAAAGTTTTATTATTATTATTATTATTATTATTATTATTATTAGATTGGCTGAAGCTGGGGCTAACAGCGGGAGCTTGCCCCGCTCCCCGGATTCGAACCGCTGACTTTTCGGTCAGCAATTTCAGCAGTTCAGCGGCTTAAACCGCTTCGCCAGCAGAAGCTCCCATAAAAGGCCAGTACTTATTACAAAAAAACCAAACAAACAGCTAAACAAACAAAACCAAGCTCAGTAGTGTGAGTGGAAACAAACAAAATATCCATGTAAATACAGTTTCACCATGTGGTTCTTGCCTATGAATGAGGTCTTCCCTTAAGACGCTTTTGATGAAGTGCATCTACACTGTTTAAATAATGCAGTTTAACACTGTTTCATATAATCCAGACTATTAAAGCAGATAATCCACATTATCATCTTTGAACTGGATTATATGAGTCCACACTGCAATATAATCCAGTTCAAGGCAGATAATATGTTTTTCTTATGGCAGTGTAGAAGGGTGCTATGGAATCCTGGGATTCGTAGTTTCTCTTAAGAGAACCTTGTAAAACTACAACTCCCAGGATCCTATAACATTGAGCCATGGCAAAGTGGGGCCATCTAGGATCCCCCAGCCTGAAAAAAAGACTCACAGAAGGAGGGTGAGGGAGAATAGACTTGGGGGCTCCTTACCAGGCGTTGTGCTGGAAAAGGCGAGTCGGATCGGTGAGAAAACGGTTCCCAAACTGCCTCCTTTTCCTCCCATCGTCGCCGGTTGCCGCCATAGCAAGAGCAGGGTGAATCAGAGCCGGAAGTAGACGGTGAATCCCCAGCCCTAGGGTTTCTGAGCGAAGTATTCCAATATAGAATTAGGCCTGCGCAGCGTGCATGCGCGGATAACACAGCGTGCTCTTCCAATACAGAAATAGGGCCGCACAATGCGCATGCGCAGGAGAACACGCTTACATGGCATGGTCCGGGAAACCGATCAGAGTGAAAACTATCAGTTATATTCCTGTAACTACAGATATAGGACTATAGAGTGATACACGCAGAGCTTCCGGTTGCATCTATGTGTCGAAGTAATACTTAAAGTAGATATATATATATATATATATATATTCCAGTGTGATTAAGTTTTTATTTTTTTATAGTTGGAAAGGTGTAAGGAAGAATTGTATACTCTCACCCAACCTATTCAACTTGTATGCAGAACACATCATGCGATGTGCGGGGCTTGACGAATGCAAGGCTGGGGTTAAAATTTCAGGAAGAAACATTAACCTTAGATATGCAGATGATACCACTTTGATGGCCGAAAGCGAGCAGTTGAGGAGCCTTCTAATCAAGGTGAAAGAAGAAAGCGTAAAAGCTGGGTTGCAGCTAAAAATAAAAAAAACCCAAGGTTATGGCAACAAGAATGATTGGCAACTGGAAAATAGAGGGAGAAAACATGGAGGCAGTGACAAACTTTGTATTTCTAGGTGCAGAGATTACTGCAGACGCAGACTGCAGCCAGGAAATCAGGAGACACTTACTTCTTGGGAGGAGAGCAATGACCAATCTCAATAAAATAGTGAAGAGTAGAGATATCACACTGGCAATGAAGCGCAGCAGAAGAGCCAGGTTTTAAGGTTGCTTTTTAAAGGTTTCTAGTGTAGGGGCTTTCCTGATCTTTCCAGGTAATGAGTTCCAGAGTCGGGGAGCCACAGAGAATAAGGCTCTCTCCCTTGTGCCCACAAGACGAGCTTGTGAGATTGGCAGGGGCGAAAGGAGGGCCTTCCCCGAAGATTGAAGGGCCCAGGTTGGTTCATGGAGAGAGATACGGTCACAAAGGTAGACAAGTCCCCAAACCATTTAGGGCTTTATAGGTGATAACCTGTACCTTGAATTGGGCCCAGAAAATAAACGGCAGCCAGTGGAGCTCCTTTAACAGGAGGGTCAACCAGTCCTTGTAATAACAGTCCCCAGTTATTAATCTGGCTGCCGAACGTTGGACGAGTTGTAGTTTCCGGGCTGTCTTCAAGGGTAGCCCCAAGTGGATATCACACTGGCAATGAAGATCCGCATAGTTAAAGCAATGGTATTCCCCATAGTCACCTATGGATGTGAGAGCTGGACCATAGGGAAGGCTGAGCGAAGGAGGATAGATGCTTTTGAACTGTGGTGCTGGAGGAAAGTTCCGAGAATGCCTTGGACTGCCAGAAGATCCAACCAGACCATACTTCAGGAAATAAAGCCCGACTGCTCATTGGACGGAAGGATAGTTGAGGCCAAGATGAAGCACTTTGGCCACATAATGAGAAGGAAACCTTAGAGAAGACAATGATGCTGGGGAAAATGGAAGGAAAAAGGAAGAGGGGCCGACCAAGGGAAAGATGGATGGCATCCTTGAAGTGACTGGACTGACCTTGAAGGAGCTGGGGGAGGTGACGGCTGACAGGGAGCTCTGGCGTGGGCTGGTCCATGAGGTCACGAAGAGTCAGAAGCGACTGAACGAGTGAACAACAACAATATTTGTACAAGAAAAAGATTTATTATTCTACCTATAATCAAGATCTAGCAGGTTGGAGGTGATGTATAATAATAATAATAATAATAATAATAATAATAATAATAATAATAATCTTTTTTTCTCAAAGCACAGCAGACAAAAAATCAGTACAAGAAAACAGCACTCCAAACCAGAGCTAACAGCTGGCACAACAAAGCATTGCATGGGCTGCTCCTTGACAAAATTGAAGGAAAAGTTGATAAGGAGAAGACCTGGCTATGGCTCATGAATGGAACCTTGAAGAAGGAGACAGAAGGCCTGTTTCTTGCAGCCCAGGAGCAAGCCATCTGAACCAATGCAATTAAGGCCAAGATTGAATAATCAGCTGATGATCTAAAATGCAGACTGTGCAAGGAAGCTGATGAAACCATGGATCATCTCCTCAGCTGCTGCAAGAAAATCGCATGAACGGACTATAAACAGAGGCACAACTCTGTGGCCCAAATGATTCACTGGAACTTATGTCACAAGTACCACCTACTAGTAGTAAAGAATTGGTGGGATCATAAACCTGCAAAGGTTGTGGAAAATAAACATGCAAAAATACTGTGGGACTTTCGAATCCAGACTGACAGAGTTTTGGAACACAATACACCAGACATCACGACAAGTCTGGAGTATTGATGTTGCCATACCAGGTGACAGTTGCATTGAGGAAAAAGAACAGGAAAAACTCAGCGCTATCAAGACCTCAAAATCGAACTGCAGGCTCTGGCATAAACCAGTACAGGTGGTCCCAGTGGTCATTGGCGCACTGGGTGCCGTGTCAAAAGATCTCAGCTGGCGTTTGGAAACAATAAACATCAACAAAATCATGATCTGTCAACTGCAAAAGGCCACCTTACTTGGATCTGCGCACATCATTCGAAAATACATCACACAGTCCTAGATGCTTGGGAAGTGTTCGACTTGTGATTTTGTGATACGAAATCCAGCATATAGATCTCGTTTGCTGTGACATACTGTGCTTTTGCTTCAGTAAAATAATAATAATAATAATAATAATAATAATAATTTTTATTTATATCCTACCACCATCTCCCCAACAGGGCCAAGCCCAGACAACATATTACAGCAAAATAAAACCAAAACATAAGCAACAAGCAACAGCATCAAAATTACATAAAAACATATGAATCCAGTAACAATATAACATTGCAATAAACACAATCATGGTGACAGTTGGCGGGCCACATATACAAGATAAAATGTTAAAAAACTCGAATGAGATAAGAATAGGAGCAAGTTATTTGCTCCATAGGAGCAAGTTATTTGCTCCATAAAGAAACACAGGGTTGTGAAACTAAACTTCCCATTAGGGGGGCGTGTACTCCAATGACAGAAGTGTTGAAGGGAGCAGTAGTGTCATGTTGTATACCCACTTGCCAAAAGTGCAGCAGAAGAGCCAGGTTTTAAGGTTGCTTTTTAAAGGTTTCTAGTGTATCTTTCCAGGTAATGAGTTCCAGAGTCGGGGAGCCACAGAGGAAAAGGCTCTCCCCCTTGTGCCCACAAGACAAACTTGTGAGATTGGCAGGGGCGAAAGGAGGGCCTTCTCCGAAGATTGAAGGGCCCAGGTTGGTTCATGGAGAGAAATACGGTCACAAAGGTAGGCAGGTCCCCAAACTATTTAGGGCTTTATAGGTGATAACCTGTACCTTGAATTGAGCCCAGAAAATAAACGGCAGCCAGTGGAGCTCCTTTAATAGGGGGGTCGACCAGTCCCTGTAACTAGCCTCAGTTATTAATCTGGCTGCCGAACGTTGGACGAGTTGTAGTTTCCGGGCTGTCTTCAAGGGTAGCCCCAAGTAGAGTGCATTGCAGTAATCCAGTCTAGAGGCAACTATGGCGTGGACCACCGTGGTCCATCATTTCAAATACTGTATTGTTCTTTCATGTTTTTTGCAGTACAAATAATATATCTGCAGTGTGCATAGGAATTTGTCCATGTTTTTCTCAAAACATAGTCTGTCCCCCCAACAATCTGGGGGACAGTGAACCGACCCTCTGCTTTAAATGTTTGAGGACCCCTGGTGTAATACATCAGTATTTGCAAGGCTTACTACACGCTCATTTTCCTTTTTGTGGAGTACAGCTGAAGAGTCTACTGTAAACACTGCATGTTGTTGCTAGCAGGTCTGTGGCATTAAGGAACCTTAGCTCCAATTTTGAGCTAAGGGGACCCCATTTGGGTTGGGATTCACAGTTTAAGAAGCAGTGCTCTATAGAACATGGACCCTTAGGGCCCTTCCATACAGCCATATAATTTAGAATACCAAGTCAGATAATCCACAATATCTGCTTTGAACTGGATTATCTGAGTCCACACTGCCATATAATACAGTTCAGTATCAATTTTATACAGCTGTGTAGAAGGGGCCTTACTTAGCCTTGCTTTTAAAAATTCAAAATGTAGCTCATACAAATCTTTGAGGTTGGTTTATATACTCTTTGTGGGGATATTTCACACTACTTCGTCTGGATGAAGACTCAGTCTGGAGAACTGTCTTTGCATTATAGACTGCTGTTGGAAAAAAAAGTGAATTAAGGGGAAATTGCTTTTTGTGCACAGAATGCTTTTCTGCCACAGCCAGAACCAGCCCTGCCAATTCATCTGAATTTAGCAAAAGTGTTAACGGCGCAGAACTATTAGCCATGTAGGAATGTTTCAACATGGCTCTTTTCAGAAAAAAAAACCCACTCGGATTGCAGCAATTATAGGACAGTTTGCTTTTTATTTGTATATAATTATTAGCATAGTTAGGTGCTTTTATAAGTAGTTAATTATGATGATAGTTGCGATGAACTTGCAAAACTAAAGGTATATTCTGACATCAAATACCACAAAGTACCTTATCCCTTTCCCCCTACCCTCCTTTTTTGTTTGTTTGTAAAATCATGATTGCCACCTGATTGAAGGACTAACTGTTGGTTGTGTTCCATAGGGGTCAACACAAAGAATGCAGCAAAGCCAACAATTAAACTATTCATGATCATTCTTTTTACAGTTGGGACATTTCAATCTCCCTCAGTCACATTTCTGTTCATTGATTTGAATATTTATATCCCATCCTCTGTCTCAAGGTCTCAGATTAGCACTTTAAGTTACCTGAACAATAAAAAAAACACCACCAAAAACATGATTTTAAAAGATTAAGATTCTGTTCAATCACTTAGTTGTTACTATGTGCCTTCAAGTAATTTCCAATTTATGACAAGTCTAAAGTGAACTTATAATTAGTTTTCCTGGCAAGATTTGTTCAGAGGGAGCTTATCTTTGCCTACTTTTGAAATGGAAAGAGTATGGCTTGCACAAAGTCACCCTGGGGTGTCTCCAGAGTCATAGCCCAATGCTCAAACCATTATACCATACTTGCTGGAAGATAAACATCAAATACCAGATGACTATATATTTTAAAGCAAGGAATTGAAAAACCACTTCTGAAAATTCCTTGAAGAAAGCCCTATGAAATGTATAAGTTCACTATAAATTGACAGGGGACTTGAATGAACATACACGTACATTACAAATTATAATAAATTAAAAACAGATGTATTAAAGCCAGTTATAATACTTCTATCATGTTTATTCCCTATCAGGAAGAATATAGACAAGTATGTCTTGAAGAGCAAACAATCTTGCAGTAACCTTACAATAGCCTGTATTCTTCCTGAGTTTGGGGAAACTTTTCTTGGCTGGGAAATACACAAATATTATTTCTCTTCCTGGTCTAGTAAATAAAAATGTAATGTTCGTTTGTGGGAATTAACATAACTCAAAAACCACTGGACGAATTGCCGCCAAATTTGGCCACAAGACACCTATTAACCCAAGGAGTGACCATTACTCAAAAAATTGAGTTTGTCATTTGGGAATTGTAGTTGCTGGGATTTATATGTAACTATCTAATATGCAGGATGTATTTTCACTGGACCAAATTTGGCACAAATACCCAATGCGCCCAAATTTGAATACTGGTGGGGTTGGGGGGAGGGATTGGTTTTATCATTTGAGAGTTGCAGTTGCTGGGATTTATAGTTCATCTACAATCAAAGAGCATTCTGAACTCCACCAATAATGTTATTGAACCAAACGTGGCACACAGGACTCCCATGACCAACAGAAAATACTAGAAGGGTTTGGTGGACATTGACCTTGAGTTTTGGAGTTGTAGTTCACCTACATCCAGAGAGCACTGTGGACTCAAACAATGATGGATCTGGACCAAACTTGGCAAGAATATTCCATATGCTCAACTAGGAACACAGATGGAGCTTGGGGGAAATAGACCTTGACATTTGGGAGTTGTAGTTACTGGGATTTATAGTTCACCTACAATAAAAAAGCATTCTGAACCCCACGAATGATAGAATTGGGGCACACTTCCCACACAGAACCCCTATGACCAATTAAAAATACTTAAGGCCATCCAGTTCAACTCCCTTCACCAGGACAAAAAAACGTACCCACAAGCATAAAGAAATTACATATATTAGAAACCATTACTTTTTCTTTACTTTGTTTTCCAGATCACCAGACTGAGCCACAGCAACGCGGGGCAGGGGATGGCTAGTGACCATATAATTATTATTATTATAATTATTTTATGAAATGTCAAAGCTCCTCTAAATCTTTTTCAACTTTCTGGCATATTTATCACTTTTATAATTCACCCTGCTCTTCACCACAAAAACAAAACAAAGCAAAACAAAAACCTCTCCCAGAGCACAAGGCGGACACCCCTAGCACAGCCCTACCATAAACTCTGGGCAATCTATACAAATAATATAGATGTAATATTCGTTTGTGGGATTAACATAACTCAAAAACCACTGGATTAATTGACACCAAATTTGGACACAATACACCTCTCAGGCCAACAAGTGACCATCACTCATAAAAACACTGAAAAACACAGCAGAAGAGACTTAAAAAGCCAAAAACTAAAAAATACATTACAATGCATGTGCAAAACCACATATATATACACACATATATATATACACACAAAACATATATACATAGACTGGGCCACAGCAATGCGTGGCAGGGGATGGGTAGTTATAAATAAAATACTAAGGAAGATTTTTTTTTTAGAGGAAGCATTGAATCACATCTATCTCAGTGTTTTCTTTGGAGGCTAAATAGTGGTGTGGTGGTTAAATTTTAAAGTGCAGTGTTTCCCATAATGGTCCCCACAGCCATATCCCCAGGAGAGTCCAAAACCACTTAATCTACATCAATAGACAAGTTCTTGCATTTACTTCACCAACTGAATATTAATAAACTACTGAGTCCAAACTGCCTCTTCCAATATGATGTCCCCCCTAAATGCTTTGCATCACAGCAGGGATGGTTCACCGCATTATATTGCACCTGCTCCTTCTCATAAAGATTACAGCACAGCTGTGAAAGACCAATAAGGACAATGGCAGATGATGATTTCAGTGCCAGTTAAATAATCTCAGGGCTTTGATCCTGAAAACCCTGGCTCCATTAAACCATATAGAATTCCAATCACACACCCACTTTCTTCTTCATTACATACAGTGACTCTTGTTGGCATGGGAGTCTTGTGTCCTAATGAAGTACAGGACAAACTGTAGGTTTAGAAAGGAAGAGATTATATATAAATTGAAATAGGTGCAGATCAATTACATATGTAATTTTATAATATTTTACCATATGCTGTAGAAATTAATTTATTTCATTTCCTTATAAATTTTCATTGTTGATCTTTTTTGTATATCTTTTTGGTGTATGTGCAAACAGACCGGCTAGCTGATTGGATAAACTGATTGGATTCGGATAACATAATTCTTGATTTATACTGTATCCCACACTTGCCACCTTAATACTTTCCCCCAAGTTGTCTCCTCTTATGCTCTACATGACAGAGGCCAACTATGGAGGACACAGGTATTATTTTTCCACCTTGGTCTGCTGAAGAAATCACACTGGCACTGTCTGGAAGTAATGTGACATCACTTCTGGCTGTCATTTCAACTAAATTTCAGCCATTTCCCTCTTTCTTCTGTGTTTTTGGGATTTTCTTTGGTTGTTTTGTAGTTATGGGAAGGAAACCACATTTGGTTTGGCACATTTCAGATGGGATTTGTGCAAAAAAAAAATGCCCCAATTTAACCTGGTGGAATTTTTAGAGAGGGACCTGGCGGATTTGGGGGACTCTAGTGGTCATTCTTTCAGGGCCCAGGGGCCACACACTATTTACCCTGTTCTATATCCTGCCTGAGAAGAATTCCAGCTTCCTCAGCCATGGCCAAGGAATCTTTGGTTCTATGTATGTTTCTTAATTATGACTGTCAGGAAAGACGTTGTGTCCCATCTGTAGAATGTGGAGAAGAATAATTCACTGGGTTGTTGTAGGATTTTCGGGCTATATGGCCATGTTCTAGAAACATTCTCTTCTGATGTTTCACCTGCATCTATGGCAAGCATCTTCAGAGGTTGTGAGGTCTGAGGATGCTTGCCATAGATGCAGGAAAACATCAGGAGAGAAGGCTTCTGGAACACGGCCATATAGCCCGAAAAACCTACAACAACCCAGTGATTCCAGCCATGAAAGCCTTCGACAATACAAGAATAATTCACTCATAAAAAGGTGAATGAGATATGCACTAACTATAATAAGTATGAATGTGAATGGTACTAGTTGGATTAGTCTCTCCTGACATTGCTGGATAATCCTGGATGTAACAAAAGGATTGCAGTAGTGATTTCCCCCACCAGCGAAGGATGGGGCTAGCTTAAGATCTCTACCAACTTTCTAATTCTTACCTCTATGAAGTACCTCCTAGCATGCCAGGTACTTATTCATACTACATCTCTCTAGTGCTATTCTTCCATTGTGATTGCCTTGGCTCCATAGGCTATCTCATTGAGGCGTTAGAGCTCTGAGCATTTTCAATACGCCTTCATAAATTGTCAATCCCAGAATTCCACAGGACAGAAACATGGCATTTGCAGTGGAATAATAGTGCTATAATTATGTAGTGTAAATGGGCTCAGACTCTGAAATCTAGATACGGTTGACTAGTCCATATGGGAGAAGGGAGTGATTGGCATGGAAAGAGACATATTTTCCTTATGTGCCCACATGTGCATCTGGAAGCCCTAACATTAACAGAGTGAAATTGAAATGTAGATTACATGGTTACAGTCTACTGACAAAAAATGTGCTCAAAGCCTAGATTAAATATTTTCTTTCCCTTTTCCATCCTTTATCTCTCTACCCCACTGTCAGATGATACTAAAAAACAAGGGAAAGCTAAATAGAGAGAGAGAAGAGAGTTGGCTTGCCTCTTATATCTTAACTTTTCACTGTATTAGCCAGCATACAAAGATGAAACCCTGAATTTCCTATTGCAGGAATGGTGGCCCGGATACCAGCCCGAGACTGTTTTGTGGAACACCTCACAAAAATGGTAGAAGATGCTCTGGCCAGCAAGGTCTGGAGTTATTGCTGACTTCTATTTTGCCTCCTACTCAGACTGGACCGTTTATCTGCAGGAGTGGATGATCGAGAGGAACGACGACGATACAGTTTATTATCATACTCCTGAAGTTCTCGTGGTGTCAACAATTCCTGACAGACATTCCAAGACCAGGAATATGTGGAGAAGGTCTGGTAAAAGGTGGAGTTCCCTGTCTCCAGGCCGATCTCTCCTCCACGCAATCTTCGCCAGAGCCTAAGTGACTTCTTTCGCTCCCGGAGAGCAATGGCCATTCGGTAGGCAGCAGTTGCTTTTTGCACCTGTGAAGGGAGAGAACCAGAGAACTGAAATTGGAGATCAAAGTTGCAGAGCAGCCATGAATGAAGTCAAAGGAAGTGCCTAGACAATGTTAAAAGTAACGTTAATTAAAAAAAGAAGAGTGTTTGGAAACTTCACCTGGTTCAAGAGTTATAGCTAGACCAGTAGTTCTCAAACTTCCTTATGCCGCGACCCCTTAATACAGTTCCTCATGTTGTGATGACCCCCAACCATAAAATTATTTTCATTGCTACTTCATAACTGTAATTTTGCTACTGTTATGAATTGTCATGTAAATATCTGCTATGCAGGATGTATTTTCATTCACTGGACTAAATTAGGCACAAATACCCAATGCGCCCAAATTTGAATACTGGTGGGGGGATTGATTTTGTCATTTGGGAGTTGTAGTTGGTGAGATTTATAGTTAACCTAAAATCAAAGGGCATTCTAAACTCCACCAACGATGGAATTGAACCAAACTTAGCATACAGAACTCCCACGATCAACAGGAAATACTGGTGGGCATTGACCTTGAGTTTTGGAGTTGTATTACTATAGACTCAAGCACTATGAACTCAAGCAATGATGGATCTGAACCAAACTTGGAACGAATGCTCAATATGCCCAAATGTGAACACTGGTGGAGTTTGGGGAAAATAGACCTTGACATTTGGGAGTTGTAGTTGCTGGGATTTATAGTTCACCTACAATCAAAGAGCATTCGGAACCCCACCAACAATAGAATTGGACCAAACTTCCCACACAGAACCCCCCAGATGTGTTTTCTGATGGTCTTTGGCGACCCCTCTGACATCCTCTCGCAATTCCCCAGGGGTCCCGACCTCCAGGTTGAGAAACACTGAGCTAGACTATTAGCTTGATTTAGTTGTACGGAGTATAAATATCTTTGTTATAACAGTTCCACTGCTACAAATCTGTTTGTAGGTTCAATTAAAAATACTGATAATGACCTATAAAGTTCTAGAAGGCCTAGGTCCAGATTATTAAAAGATAATGTTGTCTCACATGAGCTTGCCTAGGTTTTGATACCTTTAATGAGCAGCTTCTCTGTGGAGCACCAACATCCACAGGTACATTTTAAAGGATAGCAGGAGAAGTCCTTCTTGGTTAGTCTTTCAAACCCCTTCCCTAGAGCAGTTAGAAAATCACCCTTCATGGTGTTCCTTCAGTGATTTTTTTTTTTACAGAGGATCACATGGATTAAGATGCATCCACAAATTCTAGTCCACTGTCACTAATTCAAACTGAGAAAACATTTGCACACTACACATGCTAAAACCCTAGTTCCTTGCACACTACATATGTTAAGACATTAGTCGTCATCACAGCTAAGTAATGCTCTTTTATTTTTTGTTTAATTATGTCTTTATGTATTTTATTCATTGTGTTTTTATTATATTACAAGAATTGTAATAGAGAAAGAAAGAAGAAAACAGAAAGAGAAAGAGAGAGAAAAACAATGACTTTCAGTCTTTGTATCAGCAGAAAAAAGTTACATACATTAAATAAGTGTAACCTACTCTCTAACAACACAAATCCTGTTTCCATAATTCAAACTTTGACTCAGTAAAACCAACAGTAACAGAGTTTTTTTTTACTTTGCCAAAAGTCCATAGAAGTGTATTCCAGTCTTTTCTTTTTAAAGTCATGAATGGTTTATCCTCAATCCAACAAAAATATAAATTAATGCTACTTCTATGGATTTCAACAAACTTCCATACCCTTTTTCTTTCTGTACAGCCATTGATTGCATCTCCTTTGCGACAATATCTGCATTTTTTTCTAACATTGCATCATTTTAAAATAAACTTTTCTCAAGCATCTAAAGAACATATCAAGGCCACTTTAAAACTATGTTCTCCATTAATCTAGCCCAGGGGTCAGCAAACTAAGCCCCACGGGCCGGATACAGCCATCCAAGGTCATTTACCCAGCCCTTGCTCAGGGTCAACCTAAGTCTGAAACAACTTGAAAGCACACAACAACAACAACAACAACAACAACAATCCTATCTCATCAGCCAAAAGCAGGCCCACACTTCCCATTGAAATACTAATAAGTTTATATTTGTTAAAATTGTTCTTCATTTTAATTATTGTATTGTTTAAAGTTTTTTGCACTACAAATAAGATATGTGCAGTGTGCATAGGAATTCATTCATTTTTTTAAAATTATAATCCGGCCTTCCAACAGTTTGAGGGACTCTGATCTGGCCCTCTGTTTAAAAAGTTTGAGAACCCCTGATCAGCCTATCTGATCTCCTGTACAATAACATATGTATATGTGCGTGTGTGTCTATGTATATATATATCTAACATCCTACACCAGCATCATTTCAGTTGATCTTTTTGCATGTTGAAAATTCTTTGCATGTTGATTTTATATTTAACTGTGATTTTTTATCCAACCATTCAAGACAAAACTCCCCACTGTGTTAAGCAACACATCAATTTTTGCCACAGAATCTTTCTCCAACCATGACATATTTAATAACTCCCCCCTCTGGATACATAGATTTGTTAGGCTTCATTTAACCATAATTTCAGGTTTCACTGAACCGGAAAACTTCTTTGAGGGAGGGAGGAGAGGATAGATTTATGTACCAGGTGGTTTATATATCACATAATGTTTTATTTCAGATTTCTAAGATTCCTTTGTTAGGAAGGAGACAAGTTAGCCATGACTTCAACCTAAGGCTCGCTACATCTTGCTGAAGTGCACCTAAGCTAAATCCAGCACACTGAATGATATGAGTTTCTAGTTACTTACTTCACGTCGGATTTCAGCTAGGTTGTCAATCGTTAAATGTTCCCGTCTTTGTGTCAGTTTTGGTGCGAGAGTAAGTGCGGGTTTATTGTCCTTGGGGAGTTTAGCCTGGAGAAACAAATCAGCAGAGATAGTAAACAAAAATTTAGTACTCAAGTCTAGCTGTGCATGTGTTGCATCTGCACATACACACATTCTAGTTGTGGAGAGTAATATGGGATGGACTCCTCCTACTTGCCAAGACTGATTGGAGCATAAGAAGCAGACCTTTTTGAGGCCACCTCTCACAAGATCTCATAGCTCCTGTGAGATTAAAACCTGAAAATTGATGGATTAAGTAAAAATGTATTTTCAAGACTCTCTTTGTGTGCCTTGGAACAGTTTCTCCCCATTGTTGTTCATTCGTTCACTCATTTCGACTCTTTGTGACCTCATGGACCAGTCCACGCCAGAACTCCCTGTCAGCCGTCATCACCCCCAGCTCCTTCAAGGTCAATCCAGTCACTTCAAGGATACCATCCATCCATCTTGCCCTTGGTCAGCCCCTCTTTCTTTTTCCTTCCATTTTCCCCAGAATAATTGCCTTCTCTAAGTTTTCCTTTCTTCTCATAATGTGGCCAAATACTTCATCTTGGCCTCTACTATTCTTCCCTCCAATGAGCAGTCAGGCTTTATTTCTTGAAGTATGGACTGGTTGGATCTTCTCGCAGTCCAAGGCACTCTCAGAACTTTCCTCCAGCACCACAGTTCAAAAGCATCTATCTTCGTGCAACCTTCCTTATGGTTCAGCTCTCACATCTGTAGGTTACTACGGGGAATACCATTGCTTTGACTATGCGGATCTTCATTGCGAGTGTGATGTCTCTACTCTTCACTATTTTATCRAGATTGGACATTGCTCTCCTCCCAAGAAGAAAGCGTCTCCTGATTTCCTGGCTGCAGTCTGYGTCTTTGCACCTAGAAATACAAAGTCTGTCACTGCCTCCACRTTTTCTCCCTCTATTTGCCAGTTTTCAATCATTCTTGTTGCCATAATCTTGGTTTTTTTATGTTTAACTRCAACCCAGATTTTGCGCTTTCTTCTTTCACCTTGATTAGAAGGCCATGAMCAGTTTCTCCCCATGGAGATGTTCAATKATCYTCTGAAGATGCCAGCCACAGATGCAGGTGAAACTTCAGAAGAAAATRCTGCTRGAACAYRGGATTCCAAGGCCCYTTCAATGYTGCCATATAAAATCCAGATTATCTGCTTTGAACTGGATTATATGGCAGTGTAAACTCAGWTAATGCAGTTTAAAGCACATAATGTGGATTATTTGATTTGATAATCTGGATTATATGGCACTGTAGAGGGGACCCAGGCTTTCAAATATGGGATGTCACATACAAAAAACATGTACAATGTATAAGTATGCAGACTCAAACACAAAACGTACATTATACTGCAGGGTTAAACCATAGCAGTTAATGTAAGCCTAGTTCAAATGAAGTTCAGCTCTCACCTCCTGTTTTAGCCACTTTTTCTTATGAAAGAAATGGTCCTCAAATGATGCAATGGGTTCCATCCTTCGTTGTGCCTCCAGCTTCTGGAGATCTTTCTTTGGCCGTCCTTTCAGAAAGTTGTCCCGGTTGGGAATCAAAGGAAAGATGGGCACCTGAGCATAAGGGCTCTCAGACATCTTAATGGTTGCTAGCAAAGGGGAAAGCCAAAAAAAAGTTGTTCAATTTCTGGAACAACCAAACCAAGGAATTTCACTATTGAGGGCTCTGCAACTCCCAAAGTGTTGCTCTCATAGCACCTCCTTATCATCAGCCCCAGTCAGTCTCTCAGTACATAAATCAACCGAACTTTTAGCACACTTTTAGTGTGAGTGCATATGTGTTTTAATTACCTCTGAGACGTTCTGTGTAATCTCGCAACTCTTGGTCATTCATGACACAAATGCGGGCAGCACCAGCAAAGGCAGACAGGGGGCTGGAGCGGGTTTTATGCATACCACGCTTCCTGGGATAGCGTCTTCTATCTATGTCCTCATCAATGCTATCAGCCCGCCAAGCTTTCTTGCCGGTAGCCTCCAGGAATTTTTTCCGATAATAGCTTAAAAAACAAAACAAGTGGGAACCTTTTTAACCATAACAACCAAGGTCATATATAGCAGAAGAAATCAGCAGTACAGCAGAGAGGCAAGGAGGCCCTTTCAAACCACACTACTATAGTATTATAATTATCCTGCACCCTACTGCACTGGAGCCCCCAGTGGTGCAGTGGGTTAAACCACTGAGCTACTGAACTTGCTGACGAAAGGTTGGCGGTTCGCATCCAGGGAGCAGAGTGAGCTCCCGCTGTTAGCCCCAGCTTCTGCCAACCTAGCAGTTCGAAAACATGCAAATGTGAGTAGAGCAATAGGTACCTCTTTGGCGGGAAGGTTTTTTTTTTTTTGTCATGTCAGACATTGCAAGTCGCTTCTGGTGTGAGAGAATTGGCCGTCTGCAAGGACGTTGCCCAGGGGATGCTCAGATGTTTTGATGTTTTACCATCCTTGTGGGAGACTTCTCCCATGTCCCTGCATGAGGAGCTGGAGCTGACAGAGGGAGCTCATCCACGTTCTCCCTGGATTCGAACCTGCGACCTGTCGGTCTTCAGTCCTGCCGGCACAGGGGTTTTACCCACTGCACCGCCGGGGGCAGGAAGGTAATGGTGCTCCATGCAGTCATGCTGGCCACATGACCTTGGAGGTATCTATAGACAATGCCAGCTCTTCGGCTTAGAAATGGAGATGAGCACCACCCCTCAGTGTCAGATTCAAATTGACTTAATGTCAAGGGGAAACCTTTACTTTTTTTTTTTTTACTACTAGCCTACTGCTCTTAAATTGCCCAGACAGCATCATAGATAATACGCCTTGGATCACATAGGATATTACCATGGCAATTAAAGGGGGATCATAGTGCTATAATTGTGTAGCGCAAACAGGTTCTTGATGGAAGAAACTTCTTTGAAGCATGGGGACAGGAGGCTCATTCCACCCAAACAATGTATATATGAAAATATTCCTGTAATTTAATAATAATAGTAATAATAATTTTATTTTTATATCTCCCCGAAGGGACTTAGGGCGGCTTACATGGAGCCAAGCCCAACAGTACAGTGAAAACATAACACATTAAAATGCATATCAACAAAATAAAAAAGCAATATAACAAGATAAAAACAACAACATTAAGCAATATATAAAATGAACATCAGAACCAACAAATTTTAAGCTAGAAGAGTAGTGCTAAAATAATCCAATTCCATAGCACATGGTTTTCCCCCCACATTTTTCAAAAAATCAGAATTTCTATGTGACTTGTCTTGACTTATCATGGCATCTCTCACAGATGCTTCCCATGCAGGGACATGAGGGAATCCTCCCACAGGATGGGAACACATCCGGATGTCCCCAGCATAATGTCTTTGTAGACAGCTGATTCTCTCACACTGGAAGCGACTTGCAGTATGTCCTCAAGTCGCTTCTGATACAATAAAAAAATCTCTTGTAGAAGTTTAACATTGTCTCATTTACTATTCAGAATGTTCCCTTGTTTTTTCACCATTTCCTATGTTTTTTTCTTACAGAGAAGAGGAGGAGAAATAGTTTTCAGAATGCCTTCTAACAGTGACGAATTTAAAAAAATTGGCTAATCATGTTACATTGTTAGTCCTCAACAATACATATTCTTTTTAACACATCTTAAAAAAGGAACATTATTTGATGTTTGTGTTTAGAAGTTCCTTTTCTTACCTGACAATATTCACTGTGGTCTTTCTTGACAGCATAGACATCTCCACTAGCCTTGACAAGAGTTCGAATAACAAAATCCCTCTGGCATCAACAGTCTCTATATCACCTTTTTTAGGGGCTGAGAAAACAAAAGGAGATGCCAATTGGTCAGAGAAGTTCCCATGATAAGACAGAGTGGATGGAATGGCAAGGAAGAAGGAAACTATGTGATGCAAGAGACCTGATGTTAGAAGGGAACCCCGATTTTAATAAGTCAGATCACTAAAACTATTGGACTCTACCTGCAGAATCAATGGCAGAGGAGTTTCCTAAATTAGTTGGAAGATCTTGCAGGAGCCAAGAAAGGAAGACATACCTTGCTATCAATATAATTACTGGATAGAACTGAAATGTGAGGGAGGATCAGCCTCAGCTCCCTGCCCACCCAGCAGATCGAAAACAGAAATGTAAGTAGATAAATTGGTACCGCTTTAAGTGGGGAGGTAATAAAAGGCACCCATAAGGACATGATGGTGATTTGATCGGGAGGACGTCTAAGGACGACAAAGCTCCTTGACATGGAAAATGGAGTGACAGTACCCCCACCCCCATGACCGGAGTTGAGCACAGCCTCCAGATGCCAGAGATGGAAATTGCTTGTCCTTGTTAATTGTATAATGGCATTGAATGTTGCCATATATATGTTCTTTATTCCACCGTGAGTCTCCTCGGGGAGATAGAGCAGGATACAAATAAGGTATATTATTATTATTCTTTTGTAGGGCTGGGCAACCACAGAAAGATTTGTTTCTAAAATCAATTCGTTTTTTGGGGGATTTTGTGTTTCGATTTTTAAAAGAATTCCGAAATTTTTCTTTTAAAAAGTTCGATATTTACAAAATTTCGTAAATTACAAAACAATACGAAACAATTATGAAACAATTACGAATCGATTCGTTAATGGCGGACGCGACCGCGCAATATGCTAAAAAACCTCCAAATGCGACAGGGGGAACTTCTGAAACTTCCCTCTCCCTCTGTTGTTGACTGTTGGTGTGATATTTATAATTTTTTTCCACTGATTAAACAAACAACAACTATAAAACTTGCCCCAGACATGCGGAAATAATAACGAAACGATTTCAAAACGATAACGAAACGAATACAAAACGAATTTGAACCAATTACGAAACGAATTTAAAAATTCGTTTCGTTTTTTAGTTGCTCCTGAATGGTTCGTTATCACTTCGTTATAAAAAAAATAACGATTTTTTAACGAATTACGAAATTACGAAACGAAACCGCCCAGCCCTATTCTTTTGAACAGACTTTTAGTTATATGAAACCATCCAAATTTGTCTTTTGACAGCAATTCATGTGTAATGTGTAATTCATGTGTAATGTATTGTCATGTGTAATGTATGTGTACTTGGTAATCTTCTATTTCTGTTGTTTTGATTTGCAAACTGGACTGGCAGGACCAGGTTTCTTCTGCTTTTAGTAAGTTAATACCACTGCTAATGTAGCTTTCCACATTTGGTTATAGTGCTTGCCATTTAAAAGCTTATTTCATTACTTTGCATATTTTAATTCATTTTAATACATTATTCACTATGCACTTTGATAAAATACCATTAATCTGCAGAATCTACACTGAGATGAGGTGTAAGTGCTGTAAGGGTTTGTCTTTTTTTTTTCCTCACCCACAGCTTGAATGAAGTGCTTGCTGTCTGTGATGATATTAAGAAAATCTGTGAAATTCACCTTTCCATCTCCTGTAAGGCAACCCCACAAAAAAGAAAACAAACAATACATCAGTTTATAGAAGTAGTTAAAGAGAAAAGATAAGCTTGCTACTATGTTATTCACTTGGGAACTGAAGGAAATGTTTGTGGGACAGAGGAAGTATTCTTATGGGAGGACATTTTGCTCTTCCTGTATCCATACACTAGTTTTAAGGGAAACTGCAATATATATATATATGGATGGTTTTTTAAAAAAACCCAAATTTTTTACCATCTGTGTCAGCATATACTAGCTCATCAAAAGCTTCTTCCTCGGTTAAGTTGATCCCCAAATTCTGGGCTGTGGTTTCTAGAGCTGGTAGATCGACATTGCCATCGATGTCCTTGTTGAAGGTATCATAAGCATCACGGAATGCTATATGGAAAGAAGGAAATGGGACTCAACACAAAAGCAGCCTGTTTTATTTTGAAGGTGTATAAGTGACAGGAAGAAGACAATGGCATAACTAGGGAGGTACAAGCTGCATCGTGTGATACCTTCATGATCATGGGATGACACAAAAATGACTCTATAAAATTGTTTGCCGTGTTTTGGCAGATTTTTGAAATATAGATAGATAGATATCCCTGTACTAAAATACAAGTACAAAAACATTATAAACGCAGTTTATGCATACTGCATTGATTTTTGAATGTGCTCGTCAAAATTGTCATTTTTGCTCAATTATGATGACACTTTGAATCGTGGTTTTGCTGGAACACTCTACAGGCACACATTGTTGAATTGTTGATACTGGTTTGTTATAGTTGCTAGTTTTGTCACGATGTTTTGGTATTTAATTTCAGTATTAGGATATGGCCTTGTATGGGAAGAGGTCCGTAGGGATGAGTTATCACATTGGGTGACACCAATATTAGTGATGCCACTGAAAGAAGGATTCAACAGCTGCCCACCAAACTTCTCATGTCAATGTATAACTCCCCACATTGATATTTACAATACAACATTTATTTTGTATAATTTTACCCTTAGTCCACAGGCAAGACATTGTCATCCTCAAAACTGTTTCAAGTTTGCACAAAATGTCCTTAGAAGCACTTTATTTCATGGTTCGTGCAATTAAATCCTCCTCATTCCCGGATCCTCCTCCTTATAACTTATTTTGTCCTATCTCCCAGTGTTTTAAAAATTTGATCCTTCAATTTCACCTCACCCAGTGAAGTCTTCTGTGTTTTCAGTGTTTGATTTTATATTGCTGTGTTGTTTATTATGTTGGTTTTGCATTTTATGTAATTTTTGTTGCTACTATGTTTTTGCGTTATATTGTGTATACTGTATTGATGGGTGTGGTCTCATGTAAGCTGCACCAAGTCCCCCTGGGAGAGATGGAGCGGGGTATAAATAATTTATTATTATTATTATTATTATTATTATTATTATTATTATTATTAATTAAGATCAAATCCTTGAATTAGCTCATAATGAGTGCCAACATAGATGCTAACACAAATACAAAATATGCATTCACAGGGTGCTTTCTTTTCTGTAAACCGAATAGGCCTTTGGCACAGACACCTATAGAGACCTTGTACCTGAAAGGGCTAAAAAAGTGCGAAAGTAATCTCTGTTACATATTGACTTACAGATGTCCAATTTGATAAGGCTGTATTTTTACTGTTTCCACCATCATTGACTTAATACAACTTTGGCAGCATCCCAGGAGAGCTCTAGTTTCAGCACCGCATCTCCAAAATGTGGCCCACAATGTTCTTTTCACAACTGAAGTAATTCTAGGGATATTGCATAAAGCTGGGGAATAGAAGACTCTAGGATGACTTACTAAGGTTGCCAGACTGAAAACTTCAGAGGCATCCTTTCCTGTCACCTTGTATCCAGAATGGCAAACTTTAATAGTTGTGCAGAAGAAGAGTTTTCAGCAGGTTGCTTGTCAGGCACCCAGGTAACAAATAACGCCTGCTGAAACCCTGTCAACAACTATTACAGGTACAGTACAAGAGCCATTTTTAGTTTTCATCCAGGCTATTTTGTTTCAGACATATCATGGCAAGGTGTGTTCAGGATATAAAACAGACTCTACTATGTTATCTGCAAGCAAGGGAATTACCTTCCAGCTGTGGCTTAGTTAGATCTTTCACTGCTTTTAATGAGGCCATCTCAGAAAGAGTCACAGAAGAGAGCATTCTGTCAAAAGAAGAAAGAAGTTGGCACAATGATAGCCAAGGGCAATTTCAGAAGAAGCTGTATTTCTCCTACTGATTGCTTTACGTTTTAAAAAATCCTCACATTATATATGATGTCAATTTGGGTACAGAGACCGGTTAATTTGTTCTTTCACTATTCATATAGGAACTGTGGAAGGTGGACCTACATTTGTACCCATTTTTCCATATAGTTTTCTTCTGACCCGTGAACTTCTGCTTTAGGATCTCATCACATTAGACCAACAATGCCAGTTGAACCAGACCTCATCATAGTGTTCTGTGGCAGCCCATGTTTTATTAATAAAATCGAGAATTCAATCTCCACCATCACACGTGCCCATTTCATTTACAATCCCCCGCTTCATTTGCCATCACACAAAGAAGTTGAGTCCCACCCATCTGACTTTTGTTTCCCTTTTTTAAAAAAGAACTCGCTGTGCAAAACTGGAAGTATGAAATCTCATGGTTTTTGAGAAACGAGAAAAATGATAAGACAGATTGCATCCATCCTACTGAAACATTCCCCTGAAACTGGCTGTTTTCCTAATGAAATGGTAGTTTCTCTATTGAACATTATTTACCTTGCAAATTACTTCAAAATTACCTTTTGAATATTTTTGAATGTTGCGATGCTTTGAAGCCATTCCGGAAAGCATACACGAATGCAAAGCCTAATATAAAGTGTATTCATACATATTTTTTTCAAGAAAATGTGTTTTACAATATCAACAAATTTAGTATTATTGTTTGTTAATGATAAAAGGTGACAGTGTCCTTGTAATAATTAGAATGAAAGAAAAATAGCCTTAACTATTGATCCCAGTAAAAGCTCCATTGTGATTCATGCAATAACTTCACAGTGGTCTTCAAATTAGTGGATTTTTCAGTCTTAGTGGAGCCATTCTGTATGCATTTCCTGTCACCTTGTATCCAGAATGGCGAACTATATGGTTTGATTTCTCAATTTTAAAAGTTTTAAAAACTACCTCAAAAATTACTTTAAAATTATTTTTAAAGAAATATTACTTCAAAAGGAAGGAGCATAATGTCAGTGCACCGAGTATTGAAAATTGAGTAATTTCAGAATGTCTTTAAAATAAAAATAAAACTTATCTTCAAAGGATTAGTCCATATGAAATAATGGCGGCAAGAGAAAAATTGAGGGAAGTGTAGATTGCCTACAAATATATGTCAAAAATGCTATTGCTTGGGGAATATCAACAGTTCCCATCGCACATGAAAGTTCATGAGTTTTGCCACTTCCACATGTGTAAAAACAAGTGAAGCTGATAGATATCCAACTCCAAAAACTCTGCGTTATTATGAAATTAAAAAATGGGGTCCAACGGGTGGCCCCTGGAAGTAGCTTTGCATCATGTCATGGCCACTGCAGAGCTTCATTTTAAAAATGTGTAGAAATGAGGAAATTTCTACATGTGCTGAGATCCACAGTTGACCTAAGTCATGTTTCTAATTCTGCAGGAATATGGAACCCACAGTCAACAAATGAGGCATATAGTCACTTCTACCAACTTTTGACTTTAAGCAGATAGGTGGCTCTGATGTCATTGTGCTGGTGAATCTCCTCAAGGTTTGAACTAATGTAAAGATGCACTCTACCATACAATGCATGTAAAGTATACAATGTACTGTAAGCACAAAGCCAACTTCCTTTCCCTTAATGCAGCACTGAAACCCCCTTCCCCGTAAGTGTATTTTGAGAAATGGCAGTTCTTATGCAGTTGGAATACTGCATATGGGGAACAACAGTAAAATGAGGAAATTTGATGAATGAGCTTATTCAGCAAGTGAACCCTACTGACCTGCCAGGATTTGGGGGGCGGCTGTGCTTCTCTATAACCTTGGGCAACTTCAGAGGCTTTGCACCCGGTATTTTTCTTGGGTATCCTCCTAAGGAGAATAAGAAAATGTGAAAGCTTAATGGTAGACAACAACAACACCAAGTCTAGTGAATGATCCTCTTTGTCTAATAAACTCCAGTATTTCTTTTTTTGTGTGTAACTCTATCACAGAGGAATGGGGTCATTGTACTGCTCATCTTAATGACCTACCCAGAGTTTAGGAAAATTGTGTTTATGGCTACAGTATCCAGAATTCCCTAGCCAGCACGGGTAGTGACTAGGCTCCACGTGGAAATCTGTGCTTTAGTATGAAAAAAGGTAGATTTCCCAAGCTCTGATTAAGGATGAACTGATATAATAGAGACAAAGCATCTGTATGAATGAAGTGAAAATGTGTACACACAAACACACACTAGAGAGGATAAAGTTTGCATTGCAACTATGAATGATGGGCAAATGAGTGGTTGTGGGGCAGCCATGTTTTCTGTTCTATTTTCCCATCTATACTTGCTTTATGACACACCCCCCCCCCCCCCCCCCCCCCCCACCAAAACTTACTTACTTACTTACTTACTTAGGCGATCCCTCATTGGCTGAGGAGGATAGTCTTCCAGGGGCAGTATTCTTGTGGGTTCATAGGTGGCTGTGGAGCCCTATCCTTGATCTGCATCTTCTCATACAGTGAGGGCATTGGTTTCCAGGTGGAAGGCGGTCTCGGTCGGGGTTGGCTTGACGTGCCTTTCTCTTGGCATGTTTCTCTCTTTTGCCCTCCATTCGTGTCTCTTCAAATTCTACAGCACTGCTGGTCACAGCTGACCCAAAGCTGGAGCGCTCAAGGGCCAGGGCTTCCCAGTTCTCAGTGTCTATTCCTTTTTTGGCCGCAGGGTGGTGACCCCACTGGACGCGGCAGTCCAGTCAGGGATAAGTGAGGCAGACTATGTTTAGGGCACCTTTTCTAGCCCCCTCCCCATGTGGGGTGAGCAGAGTGGGTCCTAAGAAGGGCTGCTCAGTCATGGATACAGCTGCCGAACTACTCAACTGCCTCGGACCTTGAGGTAGAACGACTGAGTCCGTATCTACCGCCCATGTGCCAGTCTGTGACTAGGGGCTTCCAGATTTCACAGTCCTGCCCCCGTCGCCACTCGCTGATCGCCATGGGACTTTTGTTGTTGTTTTTTCCTTTGGAAGACACCTGTGTGTGAGTTTTTTAATGTGTGGAGGTCAGTGCACAACTGATCAACACACAGTCTTCACAGAGTGAGGTTCCACTGGTGATGTAGTTTAACACAATGACCGTGGCTTCTCAGTCTGTTGCAGCCTTCTTCCGCCTTCACAGCCGTTGGATCATGTAATACTCTGCCTGCTCCGCCGTTGAGATCTTTGGGTCTTCGGACTGTTCTTAGTCTGGAACCTCCCTCGTGGCCACTCCTGGGAGTGCATGACTCCAGTTGTTGTGCCCACAGGTTCATCGGAACACACAAGCCCCCTCACCATGACAAGGTGACAGTCCATCAAGGGGGACCAAAACACACACATACAAATACCAAAGGCCATCCAGAGAATTTAATTGCTAATTGTGAATTCTTAAACTGGCAAGTGCAGGCAGTATTATGACATATAAGAGGACCACCAGAAACATCTGATAATGATACTAGAGGCAAAGGAAAGATAACTCCACTGAAACATTAGGTTCAAAAAAGGTCTCTTGGCCAAGGGCTTTCCAAAACTTGACATTGAGAGCATGTTGTCCCCCTTCTATTCTGCTTATTCCTTGCTTGAAAGTAAAAAATACTCACCATCGATGCTGGAGAGGGTTAGTGTGGCATTGCAAGCCCTGATGAAATCTTTCAAATTTACCATCTCATTCTCTGCAAGACAAAAAGAGTAACTGGGTCAGAATGAGGAAAATGACTGAAATTCTCTGGTAGAAAAGGACGAGAATGTTACAATCTAACATAACATCTCACCAAGTAAAAAGCAAAGGGAGCTTAGCAGCCTTGACATGATTGCTTTGATATAAGTTAAAGTTGACTTTAAGGCAAATAAAAACAAACAACATGGACTCTTGTTTCAGACGGTGGAAAAAACACTACCAATAAAAAATCTTAAAAGGTGTTCAAAAACTTACAGATCAAACTATAGTTATGCAATTTATACTAATTTTAAATCAAAGTGAGATTATTTTCAGATCAGGTGGCATAAAAAGGTCTCTCTGGAAGATCTTAATGATTGGGCAGGTTGGTAATAGGCGATGTAGTGAGATAGGTGAGTTGGATATGTAATTTTGTAAGTAAGTTGTGTAAGTAATTTTGTAAACAAGTAAGTATTTTTTCTTTAAGAAGCAGAAGCTTCAGTCCAATTGCTCATTCCAATGGAAGTTACAAAATTACAAACTTAACATTCAGCATTTACTGGACTGACTGTAATTGAGACCTACATATGTTTATGACGACAAGATCATGGGCCACGCTCACCATAATGCTTTGTCAGCTTCAATGCTTCCTGCAGTTCTTCCTGGTTTAGGTAGATCCCCATGCCACTCAGTACAGAATCCAAGTTATCGACTTGCACTTGTTTGTCTTTAACAGAAGAAAGAAAACTTGGGTAAGCATGGGCTGGACATCCATTTATATCCCCACTTTTAGATTACAAGTCTATCTGCTAGTGCCATTTTGTTTGCAAAGAGTAATTATTATCTCCTATTATATAGATTAAGAAAGGTGACGGTGGGCAGTACTAGGTGAGATGTCACAGCTGGGATAACATTTAAGATAAAAAAAATCAACTATTTAAACCAGGCATGGGCAAACTTTTTGACACTGCATTTTAAAATTTGACAGATGGGTCGGGCCAGTGGCAGATGAGTGAAAAGTGGTTGTGTGAGCTAATAAAAATTGCATGTAAATGCCGTAACATAAAGTTTTGCCCTTTAAAGTACTATGATCATTATTATTATTCGGAGGAGGCAGTGTGAGAGCCGTATACATTTTGAAAAAGCACCTTTTTTGAGGGAGCAGTGAGGGAGCACTATGTCCTTTTGAATATTATTACTATTTTGAACAACTCTTCACTGCATCAAAATTAATGAAGTTTGGAGCCACTCTTTCCTCCTCTCTTCATTGCCCTCCACAGACTGGAGGAAAAAGCCCAACAGGATGAGTCTGGCATGCGGGCCTTAGTTTGCCCATTTGTTGTTGTTGTTGTTTATTCGTTCAGTCGCTTCCAACTCTTTGTGACCTCATGGACCAGCCCACCCCAGAGCTCCCTGATGGCTGTCATCACTCCCAGCTCCTTCAGAGTCAAGCCAGTCACTTCAAGGATCCTATCCATCCATTTTGCCCTTGGTCCCTCTTCCTTTTTCCTTCCATTTTCCCAAACATCATTGTCTTCTCTAAGCTTTCCTATCTTCTCATTAAATGGCCAAAGTACTTCATTTTGCCTCTAATATCCTTCCCTCCAATGAGCAGTCGGGCTTTATTTCCTGAAGTATGGACTGGTTGGATCTTCTCGCAGTCCAAGGCACTCTCAGAATTTTCCTCCAACGCCACAATTCAAAATCTTCCTTCATTCAGTCTTCCTTATGGTCCAGCTCTCACATCCTTAGGTTACTATGGGAATACCAGTTTGCCCATATCTGATCTAAATGCTGAACCTGAATTAGCCACCAACTGTCTATCCAGAGTATCCTAGCTACTTCCTTAAATGTTAAAACTCACCTTGGATACTGGGGATACTCTGGATGGCCCACATGAAGTCTTTCAAATCCACACTCCCATCCTCTAGTAAGGCAAAAAGGATGGATGAGAGACAGCCAGGGATATGTATTCACCAATAAATTTCCATTTATTTCCAAATTCATTCTTCTCAGCACAACTCTCCTGATGAAAGACCTTCACCTATTATTAAAGGCCTATTTCAACATGTCTCTGCTTCCTAATTTGGAAGAGTATGCTCTCTTCAAATTATTCAGTAGATCAAGAAACATTAGGGCCATTCAATATATTTCAACCTGACAGACAGTTCAGAAGAACTGGCAGACAAATTCCTGTACTAACTGAAAGACAATACATAATGGGCATAGCATTTGTGAAACAAATTGTGTGTGTGTGTGTGTGTGTGTGTGTGCACAACCTAGTTAAAATGAATTGCTACTCTTGGAAGATTCTAGGAGATGCAATTCAATCTCAGCATCTACTTTTGGCAATCTGGAGTGTGAAATGACACACTTCAGAGGAGAAGGACAACTTCAGAGGACCACGTGTGGCACATAAAATGCACTTTGCCTGCTCCCAGAGGTGGCCCTAGGTAATGTCCAACGGTAAGTAAACAGTATTTTGTGCCCCCCCCCCAACCAATCACTGATATATATTTTCTGTTCGTCGTGGGAGTTCTGTGTGCCATATTTAGTTCAATTCTGTCATTGGTGGAGTTCAGAATGCTCTTTGATTGTAGGTGAACTATACATCCCAGTAACTACAACTCACATATGTCAAGATCTACTCTTCCCCAATAGCGCCTCAAGAGCGCCCCTGGGCAAAATCAACTATACTGCAAATGCTTCCTTTGCGTAATGGGTTGAGCCGCCCCTGCCTGCTCCTAAGCTAGAGAGAAAAGATATGTTGAAGATATGCATACCTCATATTTTTCCTCTATTGGGTAAAAAACAGCTCTGTGGAGGCAAATTTGAATTAAAACATGACCTAAGGAAATAGATGTCCTCCCCTTGTACTTTCTTCACTAATATGTGTGGCCTACTTAACTGTTTTGCATTTAAAACTCATAGAAACAGAGAAGGGGAAGAGAGAAGCATTGCTGCTTCATGCCTGTTTAGCCTCTCTCATACAGAATTAGTGTTGTTGGTGGAAGCTTCCCTTTGGTACGTGATTCAATGATGAAGGGGAAGCAGAAGAAGAGGAAAAAGAAAAAGAAGAAGAAAGATGAGAAGGAAAGACCACTCTCACGTACTCACTATTCACTGTTGTCTGACTGAGAGCCTGCTGCACCTCATCCTGAGTTAGGTAAAGCCCCATGTCAGCCAAGACAGTCTCCAAGGTGCTGATTTCCACAGTTTTACCTTAAACAGAAAGGGAGTAGGGACACTGAGTATAGGTGATTGGAGAAGCAATTCGTATTCAGGGATTTCATAATTAATTCTAGTGTGTTTACCATTTTTATTTTTTTCTACAATAATTCTATGAACACTTCAATATTCTTTGAACAACCATTCCATTCCACCCTAATCCAAAGTACCAAATCATCATAACATGAATAGGGATAAAAATGTTAAATAATCAAGTCTGTATTTTTTGTATGTGATGACTCCAGCTGATCTCAATAGAAAGTCTTATTGACGACTAGGAGAGGACTGGGACCACAGATTGTTGGAAATAGAAACCTTCTACAAGTCTCCTATAATATTTATTTGCTAGGTATATAATTTATATTTCTTACTATATGTGTATATTGGTTTGCAGTTTTCCTTAACTCTATGTTGTGGGAGGGACTACAGACCACGTGACCAGGTCTGGGACTATTGAGAGCTGAGACTCCATTTTAGAGGTCAGATACTATTAGACTCTCAGAACAGAGAGATGCTTTAGACTTTGGACTGTTTGATCATAAAAAATGCCCTGTGTTATCTGCTCAGAGAAACTACTTCAAACTTTTCTGTAACTGGATTGATAAGTAATGTACCTGTATAATGAATACATGAAGTGAGCAATATATTTTATGTGAGAGTAGATGTTTTTTGGACAACTGAAATAACACTTCTGAAACCCTCCAAGGTCATTTACCCACCCCACCCTAAACTTTAGACTTAGGGTCACCCTAAGTCTGAAATAACTTGGAGGCACACAACAATAACTATCCTAATTAGCGTGACCATTTCATCAGCCAAAAGCAGGACCACACTTTCCATTGAAATACTGATAAATATATGTTGGTTAGAATTGTTCTTCATTTTAAATACTGTATTTTTCTTTTTTCTTTTTTTGCACTACAAATAAAATATGTACAGTGTGCATAGGAACTCATTCATGTTTTTTCAAACTATAGTCCGCCACCTCAACAGTCTGAGGCACCAGAATTGGTCCTTTGCTTAAAAAGTTTGAGGAGCCCTAACCTAAGGGGTTTCAGGTGTTAGAGTAAGTAGGATAAACCAAACTGTGTCATTTGACTCCTACTGCAATGCTACCCCGTTGCCTTGCACTGTGGTGGCACTGCAGCATAACAAGGTTCAGATCACTAGTATAAAAATATACGCTTGATGGCCGATTGGGCAGGGGGGTCAAAGAATCCCACCGCTGTCACCAAATTATAAAGGCTCCTTTATGCTATTTGGGCAGGGGGTAAAACAGATCCCAACACTGTCCCTCCTTTGATAAGGAATGTACACCACTTGGGCACTTATAGCGTTTGAGGGGATGTCTCTTTATTAAAACCTTCACTGCCACCATAAACCAAAATAATCAGGAACCCTCTAGCTAATTAAAATTTTGAAAGGTTTTTTATTCCACCAAGTACTGTATATTACCAAGGGCTTCTTGGAGGGGAAACAGGAGAGGTTGATTCAAAAAGGAAAGGGACTCTAAACACAAATGGCACTTGACTCAGGCTTAAATTTTAAAAATAACAAGAAAGAGTTTATTGAATACAAGTTACAGAATAAAAGTGAATGCAGGTTCAGAGGCTTAGCTGTTACAATCAAAGTGTTCTTGGTTCTTAGTAGCGTAACGGTTGCTTTGAGAGAATGGTTCTATTCTTTGTTACAATTCCTAAAACAAAACCCAGCTATTTTCTTTGCTAAAATAGCTGTAACCAGTCTGCCACAGCCTACTTTGCTGTGCAAACTACAGGCAAGCTGCCTATTTTCTAACAGAGACTCCTAAAACTCTAATCCTACTCTAACATCACCCAGAACTGAACTCCACTGTCAGACTAAGCTGCTCTCTTTTCCCTCCAACTGTCTAACTCCGCCCCCCTTTTTCAAACCAATCCTGGCTGTTACTGGGCTGGCTCAGGCCTCAGCCACTCCCCCTCTCTGAACTGGAGCTTTCCCTAACCTAAGATGGCTCCTGCAGCTCTCTGCCAGGCCTTCTAAGCTGAAACTACCTAGCCTGTCTCTTCCTAGGCCCTGCCACCCCCCGGCTGGCAAGGTAAGGGATCTTCACAACTAGCAGCCCTTTTTGGTAGGATATCATAGAAACACTTAGACAAAATTCTGTTTAACTCTCTCTGCATATGTTTTAAAAAATAGCGAGGCATAGGAATCTGCAAACTTGGAGGAAAGAACAGTAGGATGAAGAAAGTATTTCAAACATTTAGGTCATATTCCCCTTAGTTCCTTTACATTGCACCTTAAATACTACTACTACTACTACTACTAATAATAATAATGATGATAATAATGATGATGATGATGATTCATTGGAACTTATGCCACAAATACCATCTGCCTGCGACAAAGAACTGGTGGGATCACAAGCTGGAAAAAGTTACAGAGAATGAACACGCCAAACTCCTCTGGTACTTCCGGATTCAGACAGAGAGAGTTTTGGAGCACAATACTCCTGACCTCATGATCGTGTTAAAAAACAAAGTATGGATGTAGATGTCGCAATCCCAGGTGACAGCAGGATTGAAGAGAAACAACTGGAAAAGCTGACATGATATGAGGATTTAAAAATTGAACTGCAAAGACTCTGGCACAAACCAGTAAAGGTGGTCCCAGTGGTGATCGGCACACTGGGTGCAGTGCCTAAAGACCTTGGCCTGCACTTAAACACAATTGGCGCTGACAAAATTACCATCTGTCAGCTGCAGAAGGCCACCTTACTGGGATCTACACGCATTATTCACTGATACATCACATAGTCCTAGACACTTGGGAAGTGTCCGACGTGTGATCCAATACAACAGCCAGCAGAGTGTCTGCCGAGTGACTCATCTTGTTGTGTTTCAAATAACAACAACAACAACAACAGCAACAGTAATAATATTTATTTATACCCCGCTACCAGCTCCCCGGAGGGACTAGGGGTGGCTAACATGAGGCCAAGCCCAAACAAATTACAATACAGCAAATGTACATATAAAACAAGACAAAAACATCAAATAACATACTTAATAGTAACATAGTAATGAAATGAAAATAACAAAATTATAATTAAAAACTGATAAAATGGTAATAGAATTAGACAGAGCTAGAAGAGAGCTAGACCAAAGGATAAAAATTGATTGAATCAGTCAAGGAAACTATGGCCCTGAGTTTTTAAGGTATTAGCAACATCAATAGCACCGCTTTATTTCTTAACATCCGATGTGGCAAAATACCCAGAAGACCAATAAGAATGTTAATAGAAATCCTTAATATAGTTGTACTAATATAATTAATCTTTTGGTATTATGGTTGCTTACCAGTTTTTTGCATTCTCAAGATGGATTTGACACCTTTCATGAATGGTTCCAACTCCACTTTCCCATCAGCTGCACAAAACAAGCATAAATGATAAACAAGGCACAAAGCAGCTAGCCAGGCATGTAACTGGGGGGGGGGGGGGCTTTGGGGACTTCAGCCCCCCCCCTGAAATTCTCATGGTGGTCTGCGAAAAGGTCTTACTGGTACATTATTTAAATTGTTATGTTGATTCATATCATGATCTGATCGCCATGCTGAATATATCTCATATGCATGGGTTTATTGGGGTAACGATACAAAAGGTTTGCTAGGGTAGACCCTCTTTCACTCAGACTCAGTCCCCCAGCCCCCCCCCCCCCCCCCCCCCCCCCCCCGAATCAACATCCTGGCTATGGGCTTGCAACTAGCTGTTGCCTAGCTAACTTCCTGCAGCTTAGAGTAGGGTACATGGTGAATATTGGAATCATTTTAGTGGCAGGGGAAACCAAATCTGGAAGTCAAAGCAGAGTGCAGATATATAGTGATTTTACATGTTGGTAAACTACAGGCAAAAATGACCTGCAATAGGAGTTGCAAAAGGCCACTCAGAAGAGAAATGGTTGGCAACTTCACCTTTCCACTTATTATTCCATCACCAGAGTAGATTTACTCTCTTACTGATATGAGGAATATCGTATCATTTCATTTCATTTCATATCATATCATATATTTATAAAATCAATGAAAATCAGTTACTTTTGTAATCTAAAATCAGACTTAGGACCTATGATTTTTTTTCAAGAGTTTTCATAGAATTTTAAAATGTCATATAAGTTGCCAAGTGAATATTGGCCGTTGAAAAGGAAAGGATGTCCCCCCTGAGCTATAATGTATAAGAGTAATACTCATTATGTGGATTGTGAACCACTGTATTTTCACACTTAGGGATTTATTTATATTCATAATGCACATTTTGCAGCTATAAATATATGACTATGGTTGTCCAGGTTGTCAGATGCACTCTGGAAAACCTTGTATGGTTAACTTATGATTTTCTTGTTGTTCTCCCCCTACCCCTTTCTTACATTCATAAGAATTCTCTTGCTAAATCAGACCAAGAGTTCTGAACAGTTTATAATGACATGAAATTACCAAAATGGACAACTTTTGACTGGGAATAATGAACAAAGAAACCAACCGTCCATTGGAGAATATTTCAGTGCCTCATACAGTTGCTTGTTGGTTAAATGGATCCCTAGTTCATCCAGGACTGCATCTAAACTGTCGATATCAACCCTTTTTTCTGAAAAATAGAAGTGTTGGCAAAGGTTATTTACTCAAGATGCATGGAAATATGCATTTTATCTACAATACTGTACTCCTCTAAGAATATGAATATTCGATGCTGAAGCAAAGGCAGAGATCCAGGAAGGTGTAAAACTGGAAGAATAGTTGACCATAACAAAATGAAGCAAAGGCATTGGCTGAAGGAGGTTCTGGAAATGTTCCTGTTTTCCAGAGTTATGAATTATTGGCTGGAAGATTAAAGAAGTTGTATCTCAAAATATTTTTTTCTAAACTCAGGTTGAAAGTGGAGATACATATGTAAGAGTGCTAAAAGGATTTAAACATTTGTGAGGTTTCCTAGTTGAAGGCTGGCAACGATTTGAGTGGTTTCCCAATATTCCATATAAAAGTTCACAGAATGTTTGAAGGATGCTCAGAAAAATACTTTGTCACTGCTGCTCTCTCCTTCCCCAAGACCCAAAGACTTATCATGAGGCATACCAGGGCAAGGCAATGGGGGAACAATGCAGTTGATACCCAGCATAGAGGAAGCTCCTGGCTACAGGAGATTATAAATTGGGTTGTTGTAGGTTTTTTGGGTAGTATGGCCATGTTCTAGAAGCATTCTCTCCCTAGGTTTCCTGCATCTGTGGCAAGCATCCTCAGATGTTCTGAGGTTTGTTGGAAACTGGAAAATTGGGTTTATATATCTGTGGAAGGTCCAGGGTGGGAGAAAGAACTCTTGTCTGTTGGAGCTTGGAGTGAATGTTTCAATTGGCCACCTTAATTAGCTTTTGATGGCCTGATAGTTTTTAGGTATGGCTTGTTACTGCCTGAGGAATTTCTTTCTTGAGAGGTGACCAGGTGCCAGGTGTTCCTGATTGTTTCTTGTCTGGAGTTTTCCTGTGTTTGACTTTTGTTTTTTATTTACTGTTATAATTTTAGAGGGGTTTTTTTTTAGTACTGGTAGCCGGATTTTGTTCATTTTCATGGTTTCTTCCTTTCTGTTGAAATTTTCCACATGCTTGTGGATTTCAATAGCTTCTCTGTGTAGCCTGACATGGTAGTTGTTAGAGTAGTCCAGCATTTCTGTGTTCTCAAATAATATGCTGTGTACAGGTTGGTTCATCAGGTGCTCTGCTATGCTTGCCACAGATGCAGGCGAAATGTCAGGAGAGAATGCTTCTAGAACATGGCCATACAGCCCGAAAAACCTACAACAACCCAGTGATTTCCTGTAGCTGGTAATTTATAATCTTGAAAGTCTTCAACAACAGATTATAAATTACCAGCTACAGGAAATGATAAATTCCCATTTGTTTCCAACCAGAAAATCCCTCCCTACAATTGGCATGCAGGAAGGATCCTTGTATTGTTTCCCAGTCTCTGGTGGTTAAAATGATGTGCCTTGTCTCAGACTACATTTCTAGAGTCCTTAAAAAGGGAAGGTGTCAAGTCACAACATCAAAGAAAGCAGAGCACATGAAGGTTGACTTCACAGCAATTGACTTTGTAAGAACACATTATTGGCTGGCTGAAACAAATACAAAAATGTTTGATTTCTACATCACTACTCACAACACTCTTTCATCCAATAGTACCTTTTGTCCATCCATCTACCATTATATCAGGGAGCTTCTCAACAGTGATCTCTTCTTTTGTATCATCTGAGGCCATCTTCCCATCAGCTACAAGGGGAAAATGCAAGACAGGAAAAAGTACATTGATATTGGAAGAAGAAACAAAAAGGGAGACAGCTAGGATGATAAAGGAAGACGTAGTCTTAGAAAAAAATTAGAAACCGTTTAGAGTAGCATGAGTGTCAAAACAGACAATACAATAAATGTCTAGAGTCTACATTCTATCCCTAACCTGACTGGATTTTGTGCCGCATACACAGATAATGGGCTATTAACCCCCTCCCCCCAAGCTATTTTTAAAGAACTAAATACAACCCCACTCAACTTTCCCACAAACCTCAAAGGGAGTCGGCATTAAATTTTAAAAGTTAGCTAGGCAAGGTTAGGAGGTTAACCTTCCCCTACTCATTCCGCATGTCTTCTGTCATAGTCTCCTAAAGGCACCAGATTCTGTTTGTTGTCTGAAACTAAGCAGGGTCATCCTTGCTTAGTGCTTGGATGGGAGACAACCAATAAATACCTGGTACTGCACTTATATTTCAGAGGAAGGAAGTGGTCAAACAACCTCTGAATATTCCTTGCCTAAGAAAAAGCCATGAAAAAATTAATGCAATTGATATTGGTCAACGGGTGACTTGAAGGCACATACAAAAACATAGTAGGTCCTGATCTGTATCAGTGTGCCTATGATTACTTGTGTTGAAAGAAGATAACTAGAACTAGTTGCTCACCACTGAACAGACTATCTAGGGGCAAGTCTCCAGACATCCTTATAATGCTACTCACTTGCAGAATACACATTTGCAAATAATAATAATAAAAAAAAAATCAGAAGATCCAGAAGAGTCAGAAATCGTAAGAAAATTGGAAGTTTTGTAGGCTGGAAGACATATCCAAAGCTTTTGTGTGTCCCACACCAATTATTTTAGAATCAAAATTTGCCCCATACTTTTTTGTTTTAGTTTTGTAAATATCGGAAGGTCTCCAAAGTTAGTTTCATATTCAGTGCAAGGCAAGGAAGCAAAACCAAAGGCTGCCTTAGTGCCTTGTCATTTCTCTTTGAAATTAATGCAACCTCGGCATTAGCAGTGGGCAAAAGAGGGAGTAGCGCATTTTGGGAACAGCACAGAAATGTAGTTTGGGAAGGGAGGAGCCCTATGCCAGAGAATTCAAAAGGCCCTGCCCTAAACCACATTTCCCAGACTGCATCAACATCAGAAAGCAGCAATCAGGATAGCAGAGAGAGAGAGGTCTGTCTCTCCCAAAAACGTTGAAAATGCACGAAAATCCATGGATAAGTGAAATATTCTGAAATTTGGTGGGCTAACAGTGGTAAATGTGTTCTACCATTGTAGCAATGAGGGAGATAGGAACCCCTAAAGTTTCCCCAATTATAGTCATTTAATTATGCACATGCGTAATTACTGTAACAAAATAGTAACAAAATTTCATTAGTCTCGTTATAGTAACAAAATTTTCACTAAGTATACTATAGAAACACTTTAAATATGCAGCACCAGTGCCCCCCAGTGTTGTAATTACTTTTGAACTATTTTTTTATGGAACACACGTCCCTACTAGCCAGTATCAGCAATAGTGATAAGTGCTTGGAGTTGCAGTCCAGCAATACTTGGGAAGTTGCCCTTGATTTACTTTGATTCTTAGAAATCCTGTCTCAAGAGAAAGGAGATCCAATCTAGTTCTGATGAGGACAGGCACATTTGTTTGGTCATGTACAGAATAGAGGTCTTACCTATTTTTAACATCAAATGGAGCAAACACATACCCTCAGACACACACATATCCCTTAGTCAGCAGAATATTTCTCTTTTATCAGATATTGGCTTGGTTGCGGGGAAAGGAGATAAGATATGGAAATGGTGGGCTGATTTCTCTTCACTCACACATCCCATTGATTGTACATTTAGCTACCCATACTCTAATACACAAGAAGTTAGTGCAGATTTGCGGTCCCATCTAGTTTTGTCCCCAATCTTCCTTAATACATTTATTTTTCCATTATCCAGAAATGTGATCGATCTATCACCATACATGCTGTGACATATTTGGGATCATATTTGGCTGTTTTAACAATTCATTCTTGCAAAGCTCAACCAGATTATTAGTTTAACT